TCTCGAAGTCGAGCGTCTACTGCATCTTCCATCCGGTTCAGCAACACTCTGTTGAAGACCTCCCCTGGTATGAACAGCAGTGTAATGCCTCTATATTTTTCACATGTCATCAGATCTCTTTTCTTTGGAATCTTGACGAGGTGCCCTTCTTTCCAGTTCATCGGCACTTGTTCCTCCTCCCAAATCTTTTTGAGTAGAAGGTAAAGCATGTTTGTAGTTCCTTCGATGTCTGACTTCAGTGCTTCAGCTGGAATGTTGTCTGGACCCGCTGCTTTCCCATTCTTGATTTGTCTGACGGCCATTCTGATTTCTTCCTTCGTTGGTGGGTTGACGTCTATGGGAAGATCTGTGTGTGCCGCTTCGATGTCCGGTGGATTCATTGGAGCCGGCCTATTCAGGAGTTCCTCGAAGTATTCTACCCATCTGTTCCGCTGTTGTTGAGTTTCAGTTATTGGCTTGCCTTCTTTGTCTTTGACCGGTTTCTCTGGTTTACTGTATTTCCCTGATAGTTTCTTCATTGTATCGTGAAGCTTTTTCATATTTTCTTCTCTAGCAGCTTTTTCAGCCGTCATTGCTAGTTCTTCCACGTATTTCTTCTTGTCAGCTCAAATGCTCCTCTTTACTTGCTTGTTTGCTTCTGTGTGTTAAGCTTGTGATTGAACTTTCTCTGCTCATGTTCGGCTGTTGTTGATTGCTGCCTTCTTGTTCTTCCTTTCTTTGGTCTTGTCCAGAGTTTCTACAGAGATCCACTCTTTATGATGGTGTTTCTTTAGGCCCAGAACCTCTTGACACGTTGAAGTTAATGCTTCTTTGATTCCTTTCCAGTTTTTTTCCATAGTAGGTTCTTGCTTCAGTAGATCTTGTAAGGCTTGGAACCTGCTGTTGAGAGGTATCTAGAATTTATTGAGTCTGTCAGTATCTCGAAGGAAGGCTGTATTGAACCTTTGTATTGCTGTTTGTCCAGTTGTCCAGTTCTTTTTTAGCTTCAGTTTTAAATTGGCCACAACTAGGTGGTGATCTGAAGCTATGTCATCACCTCTCCTGGTTCCCACATCTTCCATTGTCCTTCGAAATTTTTTGTTGATGCAAATATGATCTATCTGGTTCTCTGTACTGTAGTCCGGTGAGATCCATGTAGCCTTGTATATACGCTTGTGTGAAAATATTGTGCCTCCTACGACCAATTTGTTGAATGCACATAGATTTGCAAATCTTTCTCCATTTTCGTTTTTCTCTCCCAGTCCATGTCGTCCCATAATATCTTCATATCCGGTGTTTTCTATTCCGACTTTGGCATTTAGATCTCCCATTAGAATGGTGGTCCTTTCTTGAGCACTTCTCTATGATTGACTGCAGCCTATCATAGAATTGATCTTTAATGTCGTCGTTGCTGTCATTTGTGGGCGCATAACATTGGATAATATTCATTAAGATTCCCTCCTTCTTTGTTTTGAATGATGCTTTGATGATTCTGGATTCGTGGGATTCCCATCCTACAAGTGCATTTTGTGCTACTTTGGACAGCATAAGAGCGAGTCCCTGAGTGTGTAGAGCATTGTTCTCTTCGTGACCGGAGTACAGGAGCATCTCTCCCGTAGCTAGCTTTTTCTGTCCAGCTTGGGTCCAGTGGGTTTCGCTGATTCTCAGTACTGCTAAGTTGTATCTCTTCATTTCCATTACTATTTGACTGGTCTTCCCGGTTTCTTACATTGTTCGAACGTTCCGTGTACCTATAAAAAATTTTGCTCTGGTTGTTAGAAGGGGCATCGGCCTCGTGGCTTCCGAAGGAATTCGGCTTTCACCACGAAGCGTCATAATTCTTCTAAATGAAGACCTCCTAACTTTCAGGGCAGAGTTTTAATGGTTTGGATTATTTTTTCTGGTAAGCGTTTGTTTAGCGAAATAGTTTTCTACGGGATGGGGACGCTAACCCCATGCCCAACCCTCCTCCTTTACCCTGGCTTGGGACCGGCATTAACCCTATAAGAGCTACAGGCGGAGTTATTGGTTGAAGAAGCATGGTATATATTTAGAAGCAAGTTTGATCCAGTTACGTTCTTGTTTATACCATATCTCGTACCACGTAGACCGAATAACAGTTCACCATGGATAACTAAATAAGTTGAGAAACTTTTTAGATGCGGGTAAAAGCCTTGTTATATATTCATCTCTACTGTTTTAGAACAGTACAGATCCAGTTATTGTAAGATCAGGACCGTGTGTAAAGCGTTAATAAATAATACCAAACGGTCATTTGAAAAAAATTTGGTTAGGGATTGTTAAGATAGTCCGAAACGGCTATTCTCCTATATAAAAAGGCGAACTCAGAAAAGCGATGTAATTCTACTACTTTCGATACAAGAAAATCCGCTAATATTGGCAAGAAATGATATAAAAAAGCTGGAGTTTTATCGGAAAATTTCAGTGAAGTGTATTCTATTGGTAATGAAGAACGACCAACGATTCATTGTGATTGTGGCGGCTTGTTGATGGATCACGTAGTCATTGAGAAAGGTGCTGTCTTAAGACAACTTGAGCATCTTAAACCTTATAAGTCCAGTGGTTCTGATGATATTTATCTTAGGATTATGAAAGTTCTATCAGATATAATTGCTGAACCTTTAGCACCACTGTTTGATATGTCAGTGCGGCAGTCCAGACTGCCCAGAGACTGGAAAGACTCGATAATTTGTCCGTTGTATAAGGCTGGGGGTAGAGATTCAGTTAGTAACTCTCGACCAGTTAGTCTGACCAGCGCTGTTGTCAAATTAATGGAAAAGATTATTCCGATGGCTGTCTTAAGCTATGTGGAAGTGCATAATCTTTGGTCGAGAGAACAACATGGTTTCCGGAAAGGCCTAATATGTTTTGCAAACTTGCTGATTGCAAGAGAAGATTGGGCTGCTGCAAAAGATTGAAATATTCCTGTAAATGTGAATTTTGTAGATATAAGTAAAACCTTTCATAGGGTCTCCCATTCGGATCGTAAATTGAAACTGGAAGGTTTTGAAATCCATTTGAGATCACGGGCTAGAAAAGTGACTTTATCCATGACAGGAGACAGAGAGCAAAGGTAAATGGAGCTTCCTTGGAGTGGGAACCTGTGAAAAGTGGAGTTCCCCAAACTACAACCCTCAGCCCTCTTCTCTTTTTGCTGTATGTGGATGAATTACCAACTATAGCAAAGTCTTCCGTTCTAGTCTCTGCCGATGACACAAATATTTGCAGACCTTTACACAGTATGTCAGATAAAATAGTATTACAGGATGGTCTCAAATGATTTGTGGCATGGATGGACGGAAGGTCACTAGAAGGAAATCCTGAAAGGTGTGTAGTGACTCTATCAAATAGCTATGGTGATTTGTACCACTACACAATATGTGGATTTGTATTGCCTAAAGTAAGAAACTACAATGATTCGGGAGTCATACTAAGCAGCGACCTCAAAACTACTAGTAACTATAAGGTTGCTGCTGCAAAAGACTGTAGGCTATTATTGGCTATTCGTATGTCTTTTCAGTAAACGGATGGAGAAATTTTTGTTTTATTACACCCCGGTTTCGTGCAACCACAAGTGGGAAGTAGAATTCAAGGAGCGAGTCCTTATTTCAAGTATGAAGCGGACATGCTGGATCAAATCTAACGACGAGACTAAAATTGTAAAACGTTTTTCTGGCTTTATTTATGAAGACAGATTGAGACACCTAAACTTATTTTCGTTATCTTACCGAGAATACGGGGTGGAATAATATTGGCTTGTCGTGTACTGAACCTTGGTATTAACATGAATTAAATTCCCTTTCGTCTATTAATGATAAGGTATTCTAAGAAGGTCCAAAATTCGACGGCAAATCGTCTATGTCTGGAGTTTTCTTTCTTGCACCGAGTACTGATTTACTGGAATCCTCGTTGAGACTATAATTTATGGCCCAATCAATCAGGTATGAGGTTACAGATCTCGGATTTCGGCGCGAAATTCACCCATCGATTTGGCTAAGTAGAGTTTCGGTGTTATAGCTGATGTCAGTTCGTGATGAAAACCTTAAATGTAATTCCTAATCCCAGCCATCATGAGTAAACCATAATTCTAATTCCTCACACTGGTTTATAACCCTCATTTGGTCCTAGTCATTAGATGGACTCTCTCAAGGTCACTTTAGCGTCTCTGAAAAGTCATGATAAATTTTAGTCTCATCAAATTCTCTACCAGAACACGTAATGTCAGCATCTTCTTTTGATCTATTCAAAATGGGATTGGACCTCCACAGTGCTACAAAATGCAAGGATCAGTGTAAGTCGATAGACTTTCTATCCTTATAGCTGAAGACAAAAAACTGGATTTTACTGTAATGTTAGTTAGAAAATAACAAGAAACGTCTGGCTACTATAAATCAAGCTTGACACTCAAATATGAACAGATGACATCGAGGAATAATATTTCAGAATTCCCTACTCAGTGACTCTAATCACATTAATTTACTGTTCTTCAGGCTATCAGTGTAAGGACCTATGAACTATTATACATACGGTCGACAGTCAGGGGAAACTAACTACTCTTAAATGTTTTCTTTCATTGAAGAACCCATCTAAACTTTGTTCTATAACTGAAGTTGCTTCAGGTTGTCCCACTAACATTATCTTAATGTTCCCGCTACACATGTAACCGTATACATGGAAATTAAAATCCTACCTGAAGATGTAAAAGGCATATTTCCCACAGAAATCAAATTTATCGGAAGATGCAGCGAATAGCCAACACTTTGAATAATTACTGGATTTTATTTGTCACAACAGGAAATTACCTCATATTGTCGTTCAGCTTGCACTAAATGTATGTAATTCGAGAACAGCTGAAAGATCGTAAGTACAGCCATAATAAGTGCCACAGAGTTGCTGTTTCTTTCTGCACAAGTAAAGTGTACGTAAAAAACGACGAATTTATAAGTATGAGTGAATTAGTTTGAATGAGGTGTGTTTAAATCCATTCTGGTATCTTTGAGGGTTGCCATGTGAGCTATTGCGGGCTTTCGTTTTTCGACTGTGGTAGTCGTTTCGAATTACTGCTGGAGGTTTGTTTTTTCTGTCTATGATTGAACCGCTTATTTACGAAAATTTCTTATTAAAGACAGTCCATTTTTTCTTATGTGTATTTCACGTCATTTTATTGAATTTTTGTTTACGTTCTTGTTAAGAAAATTCTCTCAGTCTTATTTATTTATGACTTTCCCTTCAGCATACTGGAACATAAATGTGTTCTTCATTGATCATGTAAAGCGTAAATTTCTTCTTAATTTTAGATCGTTGCTCAACCTAACAGTTCTGGGGAAATGTTTATCAGTCTTGTGGAGGTTTCAGCAAAGCTGCAATAGGAAATTTCGGGGAAATACGACTAGAGTATCAAGATTTCCCCTGGTCTGGGTTTTCATACAGGATTTCAAGTGATTAATACTGAAACCTCAAAACTTTATGAAACTTTTGGCCTTCCTCAGAATTTCTCTAGACTTGACTAAAATCTACGAATTTTCATGACTTTGGGAAGAAAACCTTGAAGTCTCTCTCAGATTCTCATTAAAAGATGATGGATAGGTGCCCTCATATTTTTAAACTTTTCCTTTGACTTGGCGAACTTAATGCATGCCCATTGCTTTCTGTCTTAAATATTTGGTTTTGATACTCTTATTACATGGTCAGAGCTTTTTTAAACCGATATGCTTGTCAATACACTTATTTCATACCTCTCAGCGTGCATTAAGTTACCAATTGACATTACTAGCAGGTGACTTGAATCCACTTAGTGCATGTAATATATAACTGCGTCATCAAGTCTTACACCTTGTATACTTTGGTTGTCTGCAGTGCTAATCAAACACTAAAAAGGAGTACTAAGTTTACTCGTCGTTCTGTCCACAGCATGTCTGTGTCTGTTCAGTATCGTTCATACTCATCTTATTTTATAGGCTTTAATTTTCATGTAACGTACTATCATACTTGGAATTTTTTGGCACTCTCCTGATAAGCTTTTTTAATTAACATGGCATTTAAATACCAATTAGAAATACTTAATATGATGCATCTAACTATGATAATTAGGAGTATTTGAATTATAGTAAAAACTAGGAATCCCAGAAATAATGCAAGTGGATCAAGAAGTACTAGAAAAACCCGAACGAATGTACTGTATTTGGAATTTAAAATCAAGCATTCAACAAGTACAAAGGAATCGTTAATTCATACAAACAGCACATCTTCCACAGCCTAAATTAGATTCTAAGTGTCTGTAATCGATTGTGCGTCTTCTTAAGTTCATCCTGTGTCTGTCCGACAGTATATAGAATAAAACCTCTATTATCTAGAATGTACTCATTAGTATCAGAAATAACAACCGAAATCGGAACTGACTCACCTGGGTCTTTGGATTGAATACAGTCACTATGTCGGTTGTATACCGAAACCACTAATATCTAGAATTTAAACCATAGATTTCCCAACACTATTTTCCCCCACGAAATAATCTTGAATCTTCATATCCCAAAGTTATGAATGATGTGGCTTCATTTAAAACATATTTCTCACATTGATGCCAATGTGATAATTAGGAGTATTTGAATTATATTAAAAACTAGGAGCTCCAGAAATAACTCAATTGGATCAAGAAGTACTAGATAAGTCCGAACGAATGTACTGTATTTGGAATTCAAAATCAAGCATTTAGCAAGTACAAGGGAGTCGTTAGTTCATACAAACACCACAATAAAACTGAAGTGTGGATTGTTGCGACAAATTATTCTGCGATTACCGGAAGTTTTATAATGTTCATTATCTACCAGTTGTAGACATGGATTAATTTTTGTGGTGATAGAAAACTGCCACAAACGCTTTTATTTTGACAGAGAACACAAGTAACACGTAAACAATATACGTTTGATAAATAAAGAAGGAACGAATTTATTTACCAAATGGCAAAATGGGAATTTTCAATATACGTTTGATTCGTGAAGCTTTACCTTTATTTGGTATTATGGTATTCAGCTTTATTTCTTTCCTTCCGAGTACATTGTAAATGATTTTTTCAATAACTAAACTTACTCGATCATTGGTGAACGTGGTGCATTTTCTCTTTGATGGGAAGTAAGGTAGTTTCCATAATTATAGGGAGTTCATCATATTTGTGTGTGGGCTGTGATACTGTCAGGGTGCCCAAACCGAAGCAGGCAGTTATCTTAAAGGGCCAAACCCCGAGCCTTTGACCTAAAGGCCTAACCCACAAGGCAGTGGAGCATCGTGAGGAGATGCAGTCTCATGGTAACCGGTGACCAACGATTGGTTCATACGCCATTTGTTCCCGCAGGATACTGGGGCCCATGTGCACCATTGGTTTGGAATCCGGTTAAAGCGCCGAACATTCACTTTTCGTCCCCCGCCACGAGAAGGCGGTGAGTAGGACTTCCCTGGCAGAGGCTATATACGCGTGGCCATGTGAGAGCATTTCGAGAGGGAGAGTGAACTCTCCCCACTCTCGGCCGTACCAGGGCATTTGGAGGCCCACTTGATGGCAAGTCACTTCGTATGGATCAACTGGGGTTGGATTTAAGTCAATAGAATTCTTGCTCGCTATAGTCGCTGCTAGGATTAATCACATTTAAACCTAAATGCATCCATGTTCGTAGGTAGGCAGTTGCCAGCTTTGTTACAACCAACTTCTTAGCCTTATTTACCGTGCTGTATTAATTCACTCAGTGACTGTTTTCTGTAATAAATTGGTAATCAAACTGTCATACACATGTCCTAGGTCATACTTTGTTTTTTATCATTGGCTAACCATTTACAAGTTCATTCGATATCACAAAATCATCCATTATGAGAACAAACAACATCACTTGTTTTTATGTAAATCAGTTTTAACCTTTGATGAGTGGTCCATAGTTAAGTACCTAAGCTTCTGCTTCACTAGTAAGTGAAATTCGCTTTTCGTCCTCTCAATTTCGTAAACAACACCCCCGCCACGAGAAGGCAGTTAGTAGGACTTCCCTGGCAGAGGCTATATACGCGTGGCCGTGTGAGAGTATTTCGAGAGGGAGAGCGGACTCTCCTTACTCTCGGCCGTATCAGGTCATTTGGGGGCAATTTAATCATCTTACTGAAGCTTAGTACATTCATTTTGCTTGACTAATATCCCAATCGTGAAAATTTGGGAATATGTATATACCTATTTTTTTTATCAGTTAAAACGAAAAAAGCAAATCCATCCTAATAGCTTACCTTTGGCGAACATTTATTATAGCTTCAATTTGTAAGCCTATTTCATTCCTTATTATATGTATAGTCCTAATACTGATATTGTGATAAAATCATTTTGGATGTTAGTGGTCATTACCCTCTCGAAATAATGGTTGGATTTGCCTTTGCTGATGGACTAGATGGAAATAGATTGCTGCAAAACACTAAGGTCAGGTGCAAACAGTCTGTAATAAATTTGAAGTAACAGTTCGAAAACTAGACTGTATAATTTTCATAGAAATGTGTAAATAGTATTTTGGGCTAAATACATTCAGCAACTTTCGATTACCACCATGTACTGTCTGTGGATGACTTTTTGACTAAGGAATTGACGACGTTGTTTACAAAGGTTTGGGAGCTAGGGAGTGTACCAACGTCATGGAATGAGTCGATAGTTGAAAAGGGTTCACGTTGTTCCTGTAACAACTATCGGGGGATATGTCTACTTCCGATTGTGTCCAAGCTATTGGCTTCCGTCATACTTCGTAGGTTGTTCGAAACCCGAGAAAGATTGACTCGCGAGGAGCAGGCTTGCTTTCGTTCTGGTCGAGGATGTATTGATCATATTTTCACCCTCCGCCAAATGTTAGAACACCACCATACTTATCAAAAGCCAACAATCGTTGTATTTCTTGACATCTGGGCTGCCTGGGATTGTCTATTGAAGAAGGGTGTGCCTGAGAAGTTTATTAACATCCTAAAAGCCCTATATACAAACCTCAGGTAGAGTGAGAGCATATAACCACCTTTCTCCATTGTTCCATTCGAGCAGTGGGGTTAGGCAGGGTTGCCCAATCTCACCATTCCTCTTCAACTTTGCCATTGACGACAATCTGGGAACAGCTCTGATGAATGTAAGTATTGGCAGTGTGGATCTATTGCCTGAAGAAAGACTTCTCAACCTTGAGTATGTGGATGATATTGTCTTACTGTGCGATAATGCCCAAGCCATGCAATGTGCACTTAATCAGTTGGCAATCAGTGTCCGTACGTATGGTATGTGCTTTGCACCTTCGAAGTGCAAAGTACTTTTACAAGACTGGCAGAATTTTAATCCTGTACTCACCCTGGATGGTGAGCAGATAGACGTAGTCGAGAAGTTCGTGTAACTAGGTAGCTGCATAAGTGCTGGTGGTGGCGTCAGTGATGTGATCAATACACGTATAGTGAAAGCCAGAGCGGCTTATGCCAATCTGGGCCACCTTTGGCGCCTTCGTGATGTTAGTCTGGCTGTAAAAGGTCGGATCTACAACGCGTCGGTGAGAGCAGTTTTGCTCTGTTTGTGAAACCTGGCCTCTCCGAGTTGAGGACGTTAGACGACTCCCTGTGTTCGATCATCGTTGTCTCCGAAGGATTGCTGACATCCAGTGGCAACACCATGTTAGTAATGCAGAGGTTCGGCATCGTGTGTTCGGGCACAGAGACGATAATGCAATCGGTGTCGCCATCTTGAAACACCGACTTCGGTGGCTTGATTATGTTCTACGAATGTCGTCCCAGAGAATTCCACGTCGTGCATTATTTGCCGACGCTGGGACTGGTTGGAAAAAACTGAGAGGTGGTCAGTGTATGACATGGTGTCGTGGTATGAAAGAAAGCTGCAAAAGGCTGGCTTGTGTTGGTCCTTCACGACTCCTTGGCTGAGGTCCTAGAGATGGGGCGACACAGTGATTAGAGACGTTATCAGATATGGCTCAGAATATAAGCCAGTGGCGATCCTGCTGTAACTTTTACTTTCATAAAAAATAGTCGTATCTTCCTTAACTGCCCCCAAATGCCCTGGTACGGCCGAGAGTGGGGAGAGTTCACTCTCCCTCTCGAAATGCTCTCACATGGCCACGCGTATATAGCCTCTGCCAGGGAAGTCCTACTCATCGCCTTCTCGTGGCGGGGGACGAAAAGCGAATGTTCGGCGCTTTAACCGGATTCCAAACCAATGGTGCACATGGGCCCCAGTATCCTGCGGGAACAAATGGCGTATGAACCAATCGTTGGTCACCGGTTACCATGAGACTGCATCTCCTCACGATGCTCCACTGCCTTGTGGGTTAGGCCTTTAGGTCAAAGGCTCGGGGTTTGGCCCTTTAAGATAACTGCCTGCTTCGGTTTGGGCACCTTGGCAGTATCACAGCCTTCAGACATGTCGAATGAGATGTGGCGTGTATGTATTTGGTGACTCCTTGTACCAATATCTATGTGTTAAAATAAATATTAAATAAATAAATAATTGAAGGATTTCTTCTGATTGTACCTTTCCGTTCCCCCATTATTACCACTATTATTAATTCACTACCTTACACCAATCTCTCCCTTATTGTTCTTTTTTTTACCGTCCTTCTTTTTCTTTTTCCTTCTCTTCAAATTCTCATTGTTTTGTGTGGCGCATATATATTCGGCTCACTCTTGTACCAATATGTATGTGTTCGAATAAATAAATAAATAATACCGTCTGTGGAACTGTTTGCAGAACATCATAGACAAATTTAAGATAGGATGGTGAGGCAATTGTATGTTCTAACTGGCTGGGCTGTTTTAACACAAATGCTTCTGAACCTATGCTTTAAAATTTGTTTTCGAACCAGTCTTATCTGGGAAATCAATAGCGGTCCTCATATCACGATTTAATAGTTGGCCCGAAATAAATACAGCAGTGTTCTAGGATTTTGTTCAGTATATTTACGAAAATGTCATTGTTTTCCTAATCAAACTGATATTTATGTTTTCTATTAGTCCTGATTGATATGGGTTAAACATGAAATCCTCTAATAGCATCCAAAGGTATATATGTGACTCTTAATTTCATTTCGAGAGAGTTCGTTCATCATCTTTCAACCACATAAACAAACAGTAGTTAACGTCGTGGTGCAAAACAGCTATGTACTTCTAATGGCTTAGATATACGACAACGCTGTCTAATATTGGTTTATGTATTTAGTGGTGAATCAAATTGTGTTGAGCTGCAGTTGAAATCAAATTTAGAAGAAAAGTACAGTCAACGCTCACTACTGTTCCGATGTGATTTCGTTTTATTCGATGATCAGACCGTTGGAATATTCACGTTAGTCTAGGGTAGAAAAATCGTAGATAGGTGGAAATTGAATGGTAAGAGAAAATAAAAAGCGTATAGATAGTTTCAGATAGATAGTATCAGAAAAATGTAATTCATTTACTTATCAGTTATCAAAGTCATAAAGCTAACGTTAAACCAACTTTCATGAATACTTGAAGTGCACTTCGTCAGACTATTTGTGATTGTCGTCGAGTGAATTATTGTACAGTTTTCATGTCAAAGTTTTGAAAATTTGATGACAACAATTAAAGTACGAAGTACTTATAGATTTGGTGGGTAATTTATTCATTCTCTTGTGAATGCGAAATGTTTATTCTTCTGGGTTGTATGCTGATATTTATATCATGGAATGCTAACTGCTACGGTTATGTATAGTATAAGTAGCCCAATACTTTTACTACCCATAAACGACAATTCGTTGTGACAGTTAATCAACTATAGAAATATCAGAAAAGAGTTTTTTTCGGGTGGGTAGTAAGTAGTAATGTTTTACACACTCGATGTATATAACTTTTTTCTTACTCTAGATCATGGCATCTGCGAAACAGGATATTGCTACGTATAATGTAACTTATTTATTACGTCAGTGGGATTGTTCATCTGAAGAAAAACGTCGTCAGCTTCTTGGCGATTTCATTAAACAATACTATAATTGTACTGGACCTGATTTAGAATCAGAATTCGCCCAAATGGCTAGTTTATTTTTGGCTAGAATATGCGTATGGATAAAATTAACGTAAGTCATGTTCATGGTATTGACTTGTTTGTGTATGCGATATCGTCCAGGTGTTCGATTGTGTTCATTGGATGATTTGTGTGTTTAATTATTAATTATTTCGTATGTATATGTACAGTTATTAACAATTTCGTTCCATATAATATGATATGTGGTTCGTTTTTATTTTTGTTGCTTTATCTGTCATCTTGCAGGACTTTTGTAAAAGAATATGATTTACAACTGCTTGAGTTTAAGCAGTTTAGGCTTCATGAGTAACTTACCAAGCATAAATTCTTGTACCCAGCTTTAAGTCATGCTTTAAGCAGATGGACTACTAATACTCTACCCAATGACCTAAGCTAAAGTAAGCGGTGGGGGTGGAATTCGAACTTGTGATCTAGTAACTTGAAGTTAAATACACCATAACCAATAAGCCACCACCTGTTCAATTATTTTCCGGAGTATTGTAAGTCGTAAATATCATGAAAATTTTAGTTTGGTCACAGACAGTAATGTAAATATGGACATGTTTTTCTTACATATGTATATCACTACTTTATTCAAAACTGTCAGATTAGTTAGTTTATAGGTTTTTTCGATTCAAATGTGCCAGAATCATATTAAACTGCCAGAGAATGTCAAGAAGTAGCCTTCATTTCTTTGTCCATTTTTGTACTCGAAGAAAATTTTTAATTATCAGCTAAGTTAAATAGAACGTATGTAAAGTTCTGTAGACTAAAATCTTAAATTTTCAGTGTTTTTTCAGGTTTAAGTCACTACTTCAAGTAATTATCTGTGAAAATACACAACTTTCAGTACTAAAAAGTATCTTGTTTAGTTTGTGTCATTTCTGTCATGGTATTCGTAAGTAGGAATAATTGTTCATCAAATTAATACTTGGTTTATGGTCGTGTAAGAATATATTCCACAATCTTCTTTAAATCATACTTTTGAATAATGTTTTGATGAGCATTGACCTATTAATTAAAGTATTTAATCGTCCGGTCCCAGGTCCTTGTCGTGTTTCTCTTATTTCAGTTTGAACATCTGAGTAGCGTTTTTACCCCATGCACATAGAGCAGTTTGTGGCCCGATGTACTACACACTAATGTAGATTTAAAATCAAATATGTGTAATGTTTTTAAATTTTTTCGTGTCTTTTAGTTACATGTCAGGAACTTGTCTAACAGAACAACTTCAAGCTCTTCATATATTTTTATCAGCTTCAAACAGGTAAACTAATGTAAAACTGCCTTTCTATCCATAGAAAAATTTTGATTTACAAGTTTATCATAATTTGTTTTATCTTAGTTCCGATTTTGTATCCTTAAAACTGATCTAATTTAAAAGAATTTGTAGCTGATATAAAGGAAGTTTAAAAAACTGGGGAATGAACAAAGTAGGATTTCCGTACTCTGGCCAGTATCCTGGTAACTATTATTATTATTGATAAATTCTTCGAAGTTGTTAACCAATCAGCTCATCGGTCCATCACTATATGCGTACTTTATTTGTGTAGTTTTGTACTCATGGTAGTCATGCTCCTGTAAATAAAAACTTTATTTCTAATAGTCTATGTAAGACTTTTGTTATAAGGTTTTTCGGAATACTGTACAACTAGTTATATTAACTTATCAGTTCACGTTCTACCATTTACAGCACAACTAAGATCGAATGTATCGGTATTATGCGTGTTATTGTATGGTTAGATTACCTAATTTTCCCAATTATTTCAATGGTTTTTCAATCTTAAGCCAGTAATTCTACAACTAGCTATCACATGAGTTCATCCTTAGGTTAATTTAGGCTCACACGACGTTAGACAATTTCTTTATTGACTAATTGGTTAGTTTCATCTAAAAACGGTATCGTTTTGTGTCTAAAAAGTTTATTCATTTTCGACTTATTAAGTAGTGTGGTGCGGACAAATGAAGGCCAGTCTTTCTTATTCTATTAGTTGGGGACTATATTTCGACAGCTTAATGGTGTTTCGTGTATCAAATTTTATCTTTCCTGTGTTTAGTGATTATAATTGTCGGTTGTCAAAGTAAATTGGTTGGTAGAGTTAGTCGGTTGGTATACTTGGCGTTCATTACCATTTCGTAATAGATCTGTTACAAACATAATCCAATTTTATTTTCAGACGGATGCGACAATTTTGTTATTGCATCTCGATCCCAGACCACCAGATTCCCCACGTTTCTTTACAGTTTGAGCGTGTAATTCTAGTTATATCAGTGTATTGGGATTTGTGACTGCATTCTATGTCGTTTTTCTCATAACATGTGCCCAGGTAGTGAAGTTTATAGTTACAGATGTAGGTAATATTGCTTGTTTATCTAAAAAGTCAACATCTACCTCGTCATGTGTACAAAATGCATATAAATATGTCGTTTGTTAGAACCTGGCAAATTTTAAAATTAACTGATTAGGTATATATACTCCCTCTCTAAGAGGTACCTTTATTTATTAAATTCACTGTCTTATACGTAGGAAAAGTACAAGCCGTTATAGAATAGCAGTACACGATTAAGGAAAGGAGTAGTGATCTGAACATAAGTTTATAAGCACAAATCAAGCGATGGATAAAATAAAAAGCCTGTACTAGCTCACCAAAACAATGTTTTATACAAACAACTGTATAAATATTCAGTGATCATGGAAAATAAATTATCAGTCAGTCAGCTACAATGTAGGACCAGACATATATATGTATCGGTACAAGTTGCCATACCTCATTAGCACAGCAAGATGAACACCGAATTCATAGTAGTTAATTCAATGGTGGTAATATCTGAATGAAAGACTGTATATAAGGATATAGTACAGGAAGAAAGAATTAGCTTTTAGAAAGATATGAAGCGATTTTAATCTCATATTTTAAGGGAAGACAAAGATTGTATAGACCTACGCCATTGTGATCGATCCTGAGCCTATAATATACTAAAAGTGCAAATTGTTAGGAATTATCAATGGAAATGAAAAAGAAATAAATCTACACGGTTTGTGTAATTTACTTATTTTATTCGTATTTAAACTCCTGATTCTACGGTAATCCAGTCTATTGGTTTAATATAAGCTTGTGAACCCAAATGGCTCTATAGGATTCAGTGCCTATATTTAACTTAATAACTACTTTATAAGGTACAAATCCATGTACTTGTCTTTGAACCAAGGGTTACTGGTACTAACTGTCCTGACTGAAATAGGTGTAATAGGGTTAAAATCCATTACTTGAAGGCTGAAGATCCGACTCCTCAACTAATGAATTACTGCTTTAGTGTGCTTACTTAAATTAATACTATGACTTAACATGATTAACTTTAGATTTCTTTCACTCCAATTCTTCAACCAGCGTCGATCATGGGATTAGATGTGGACTTAAAATCTAGAGTGCATTTTCAGCCATTTCGGTTAATGTAAATCCTCATTTTCACAGACTGACTTTCCTTCCTTTTTTTAATACTCTGCACACTACCTAGACATTATTCATTTGTTGTTAAAAGAAATGCTTCATATATTGTCAGCCACAAGGAGTTGTTACAAGTAATAGCTTTACGATGTCTAGGTTGACAATGATCAGTAGGCTTAATTGACAAAAAACACGACTTTAAAATATTAACCAAGGATTCTATATGGATAAATAGTTGGTTAGTTAATTTGCAATTCTTGTTATATATTTAAACATTTTAGGCAGGCTAATCTAAACAATCACTGAAAATTTGTTCAGTTTGAGATAGCTTTAGCTTTAAAGGTTTATGCAGAAGGGCAATAGCTTTATTTAATTTCTACGGACTGATATTGCAAGTTATGCATAATAGTACTAAATTTTCGAATCGATCTTCCCTTGATAATCTTTATTAGTATGCAGTAAGCAATTTGGATGTAATCCATGCTTACAGTTAGTGTTATGTCACACTGAGTCTTTTAGCTCAACATGTCGATTATCAATAATCTTTACATTTCTACATCTTTTAAAATAAATTTTGGACTGCCGTTATCTAAGTAAAATTTATACCAGCAAAATGTATTTTATTAACACAGTCACAGTTTACAATATCGCAACACTACACACTTTCCCTTATGATATCCAGTTCTGGATTAGGTTTAGCGAAAAAAATGTATATTTTTTACGCTGTTCATCGCTTACACTTTGTCTATAATATCTAGAAGTTTTAGGCTACATACCCTGTAAAAAAATCTACTATAAGCTAGTTTGTTCATCCAATTAATGACGTTTCGTATGTATATCTATTCACAAATCACATAAATCTCCTCATCTCAAAGGAAACAATCAATTTGTATTTTATCCTTTGTGTTCTTTTTATTTTCCTATCTACCTACCCACCCATCAACCTTCTTCGCTAAAAGCTATAATTATTTACTAGAGTTTTTGGAGCATGGTGGTGTATTGTGTTTACAGGAAGTATGCATTTCATCGAGTGCAAAAGAAGTAGATAAACGTTGGGCGCTTAAAGTATTATCTTGCGTTGCCAATGGTGGTACACATTACAAGGAGACAATATGTGAATGTTATGGTAAATAATTGCTTTTTTCCCTTTTTATTTATCATTATAAACGTTAGTTTGTTTCTTGTTATCTTACTTAATTTTCTTTTAATTTATGTTTCATTTTGTCGCTCCCCCTTAAGTTTGTCTTTTTTTTGGTTATTTTGCATTATATTCCTTGTTTAGCCATGTAGTTTTCGTTTGTATACGTCTTAGATCCTTCAAATATTAAGTTCATGAAGTTTATATCATTTGTATAGTTCCTCCTTGTCTCTACTACTTTTCCTGTTAATACCACAACTACTAGTGTTATTTAGTTATATTTTTTCTTCTCTCATCTCCTTAACCATTTTTCCTTTATTTAATTGAATTTATTACTGATAATAAAATTGGGAAATAAGTTTCTTTTCTATACTTAAAATGAAAACAAAGATGATAATAATAATAATATATGTGTATTATTTGTTTAAAAAAAACAATTACTTCATTGATTGATAAATGTTAATTGAATTTGAGCAGTTTTTCATTATGAAGTAAAAGAAACATCAGAGAGAAAGAGAAAGAGAGAAAAAAGCACAAGATGTGACCACTTATGATAGATACTGTTTGATTAATCAATCTGTGTTAAGACTGTTCGATTCACATTTCCAGTTAATAAATAATAATAAAAATCATAATATGTTACTATTCTGTTGGTAAATAAATTTAGTTATTAAGGTATATTGGTCAAGTGAAAGAGAATCTTTTCATAATCAAATGATATGTGTAGTATAACATTGTGGAATAATATTTCTGTCAAAATTATTCATAGATGTACATTTAGCTACTCTGATAACCAACGAAGAACTACTGAGTTAAAGATAATTGTTTGATATTAATGTCTTTATAATCCAAATTTTGAAGTATAAATCATTGACATATTTTATAATATCATAAATAATTTTTTAAATTTGTAGTGATATTTACCAGTTAGTATAAATAATATAGGTCACCTGTGCGATTTCGATTAAAACAATTTCTAGGCATTCGTGCTGTTGCTGAATGTATGGCCAAGTCAGAATCAGAGGAAACACAAGAGTCTGCTAGAGATTTATTAGAAATACTAGCTGAAGGCAATCCTCGTTTCTCTGATCAAGTTTACAAAGGATTAATTGGCGTTTTACCATGTAATTCACCAAAAGCTCAACAATTAGCACTTCAAAGTATACGAATTTTACAGGTATATTATAACATTTCAAATAAGTTTCACAAATTCATTCTGCTTTTGGCCATTCGGAGAAGTGTGGGGAGATTTCAGACCTTTATCGACTAACCAATATCTTTCGACCTTAAATAATCAATAGCATCATTAATCTTTGTATTCTGAATGCACGTCATCATTATTTTCACGTTTTTGATTTGAGTGAATTCTAGGCTTTTATGAATTCAGATAAATGTAGTCGTTTAGTTAATTACTACTAAGTATTCGCACTAATATATATATATATATATATATATATATATATATATATATATATATATATATATATATATATATATATATATATATATATATATCATCAAGGAGTCAGATATTAATTAATCAGAGCTCGAAGATTGATAAGATTGTGTTATAGTTATAGAATGGTTATAGGATATAAGTTTCAACGACTGGGTGAGTGAAATGCAACTTGGCTTAGTGAAGATTAGATGACATATTACAAACGACATGATAGTAATAGTAGTGTAAACGAACAACTTATCATTTAATACAAAATTGCAGAATTTCTTCGTAAAATTTAAGAATCATACATTACGATAGAACAATGAGAAGACGGAGTTGATCTGAAAAATGTGATGTATTAGCGCTATACATTTCGAACAAATCTGGTCACACATATATTTGTCAGGGCATTTTACCTTGGTAATCCTTAAGTCATTCTATGGCCTAGGATAACGCGACAATTTCTTATTCTTTCTTTCCCCTTAGTTATTTTAATTGTACTTTTATTTGTTTGACCTTTATTAATTTTCATACAAAAATGCCCTGACAAGTATATGTGTGACCAGATTGTTCGAAATGTATAGCGCTAATACATCACATTTTTTCAGATCAACTCCGTCTTCTCATTGTTCTATCGAAATTTATAAAAGGGACTAATTGCTTTAAAATCATACATTAAATGCTTCATTTGCAAATCTTCCAATTGTCTTTCACATTCTGTATGATTCTTCCAATTCACAATTCTTTTTTGTTTACATTCCCGTTTTTTTTCTATTCGGCCTTCTCAGCATTCTGATTTCATGCATTCATCATCCGTTTGATGTTACATACTAGTTATGTCTGTTGACATACATACACCACAGTAGTAATAAATATAGATCAATCACAAACTATATTCTGTATGAGTGTTGTGGATATTGTTGAGTTTTGTTATGATAAGAAACCAATACAAGTTAGTTCTAGTTTAGATTGGTCTCCAAGCTCAGCAAGATGTATCATTTTATCATGCTAGTGATGAATTAAAAACTATCCCTTTCTAAACGCATATGTTTAGTTGAGATTTTGTTGATAATTAATAGTTTAACAAAGCGTAATGGAGTTCTTTGAAGCGTACATGTACTTTACTCCTTGTTCATTCGATGTATATGCTTTAGTACTTTTATGTAAAATGATAAAACGCATACAGACTGTTCAAATGTTCTTTAATTATTACACAATCCATCTTATCAGTTTTTGAATTCTAGCTTATAGCTTAAAGTCAGTTTCATTTATAAAATGATGTGTTATCATGGAACCAGTTTTTGCTTTCTAGATAAAAAAATACTCATTAAGAGTTTAATGTCAAATAGAAAAAAGGTATATTAAAGCTGTAGTTTTAAGTTGTCATTTTTTCACATCTACACAGTGAAGAAAAACTAATAACAAGTCATATGATGAAATAATGTCGCTAGTAATGAAAAACCAAATATAAAAAGAAAAACGGGATAAATTAGATCGAACAATGAACAGACGAAATAACATTATATTCCAAGTTTATAAAGGTAAAAAATAAATACTTTGGCACTAGTGCGATCGATTTACAGTCATGTCACTTGAAGTTATGGGTTATCATCCATTCTATCTCTCTTATTGATTACAACCGTAAAGTCTGTATCTATCTACTTATATTTTCCAAATTGGAAGTTGATGACTTCGCGGATCGAAGTCATATCTCTGTCTAGCTACCCTTTAGACTTATTCCAACCCTTTCTCTTACTAGACAGCATGGCGAATCGAGATTGGTCTTTGTACATTTGTAATATTGTTCTTAACTATCTCAATCCATGTTGTTTTATAGCTTTATCTACTAATTTATCACATCTACATACAAAGACTAACAACTGTCTGTTCATAAATACATTAGTTAAAAACATTTAAATTTCATGAATGACTTTCATATTTATGTAACTTACTAAAAGTACTACTCTCAGCCTGAAATTTCAAGTGAAAAATAAATAAACTCGGACTTAACTGGTCTTAAATTGATTTCTTCATTGTTCCACCATCCATTTTAAAGTAATTTGGATCACTACAGTGTTAGATAATATGTTTTCATTAGTACACCCCCAAATGCCCTGGTACAGCCGAGGATGGGGAATGTCCGCTTCGGTCTGGGCACGCGGGAAGTACCTCAGCCTTCACACAAATCGAATGATTTATGTGGCGCATATATATTCGGTGTCCCTTTGCACCAATATTTGTGTTCAAATAAATAAATAATAAATTTCATTACTACGCTGATTATAAAATTGTGAACACGAAGCAGTAGTGTAATCGTCCATGTAATTGTGAATATTAGTATGAATTGGAAGAGAAATAGGCTTAACAAAAAGTGTTATTTAATGAAATAAATAATATTTTTGTAATTTCTCTCGGACACACGCATAGAGACGCTCACATATCCATTCTCTTTGTCACAATATTCATTTTCCAACAAATTCATGAAACTTTTTGTTTAACATGCCAAAAAATGTTAATTACCCTGTGTCAGCTGATAAAACATACTTTAAAATATTAAAGCTTGGGGACAAAAATAAAGCACTAAACGTTTTTTACCTGTTAATATAATATTGCATAATTATTCAGCTAATTATTTCAGGTCAATGTTTTGCGTTTATTTTGTTTATAATTGGGTACATATATAGCGATAACCGCTAACATAACTTATTCAAAAACATTTTACAAAAAGAATTGTATTTCCATATTTACTAATGCAGTTGATTCTATGCTCTATCAATATACTGTTATTTAGTTTTGTCATTATGCTCTATGATATTGAATGCATGGATATATATATACCCGTAACAGTACATGAGACCAAGTTGGTCACATTCAAATCCTTCCTACACTTCCTAATAGCTCTCTTATCTCCACGACTAACCCTTCTCACATCCCTTTATCACCTCGCACTACTAGGGCAAACGATTCGAGTACGCTTAACGTTATTCCTGGTCTCTTGAAACCACGCTCTAAACTTTATGTTGGAGATTATAACGTCCGAACACTGTGCCAAATAGGACAACAGGCTTCCTTAGCTTGAAATTTAGAATCTCGCGCCATCGATGTGTGCTGCGTCTTCAGGTTCACGAAATTTCTATTATTTAGTGAAGGATAAAGAATAAATGCATATCCATCGTTGTGATAAACTTTGTGTTATGAAGTCTGTTATTTTTAACCAATTTACTCTACAATCTCAGAGACCTTATTCAAGAAAACATGTATGCTAATTGATCTGGGTGGTATATAATTATTTTTTGATTGGTTGAAACTTATACATATGCTAACATTTTCCTCGTTGACTTTGTAAGATGCTTCATAACTGAATTCATTCATTATACTAATGTGCCTATATCACCATAGGTTATCCTATCCAGTAATAACTTCTCATAAAGCTTTGATTTCCGAATATCAGTGATGCTTGTTTAAATAATTTATCTTAACCGAAGAATCTTGATGTGAATAAACTAAACTTTGCATTATTATTTATCAGTTATCAGCTCATTTTTTCTGACAATGTATTCATGATTTTAATGTTTGCTTCACTAACAGTATTATCGATATTCTAAAAACTGATCTGGAAGGCTGTTTTTTATTATAAAAAGGTTTTTTTTTCTGAACACAAGAACATTATATGATTAATTCACCATTAACAATCATTATATTTTGTAAATTAGCTTTGTTATTAAACAATAAATTCATCATTATTAATATTATTATTATTTTAGGCAAAGCGTAATACTGCCAATAGGGCCTTAATCGACAGAATAATCTACTTACTGGAGTCATTGCATTTGGAAGTACAATCAGCAGGTACGTCATCTGTTATGGCTTTCATGTATATTCTAATTGATTCAAAGGATTTTATATAAGCACCATTAGATACAGTTTAGATTATATGCATACAACGAATAAATGAGTTTAGTTTCTACTTTTTATATCATAGATTTTGTGATATGATTTTGAAACCTTGCATTGACAAGTAACTTGAACAAATTGATCTGACTAACGGTAAAATCATAATTTCATCTAATCCAACAACTTGATACACATTAGGTTATGTACTATTCTTATTGTTATCATTGTTGTTTTGTGTATGAGTTTTTCAAATTTCAGTGGATAAATGATGTTTCAATCCATATAATCTATTGGTGAAAATTCGATTCCACTGAAGCATTGGATTGTGTCAGTTTAAGTTCACATATTTCTCTAGGCTGTCCTTGTGTTGTAAATATGTCTGAAATATCCCTCAATTTTTTCTTTGCACCGGGATTTCAAATTCAGTCAAATGAACTGACTAAAACTGTCTACAATATATAACAGTTCAGGTTATATATAGCTCTATCTAGCATATATGTTAGAGCTAAGTATAGGATTTATTTGCTATTTCAAATGCCATAATACATCTAGTTGGTCATAAATCAATTTTTTTCCTTTTATAGCTCATATGTAACTTTATTTTTCTATCAAGTATGTAGCGCATTTATTAGTTTTTAAAGTATTTCTTAAAATAAAGTTGTTCTCAGTAAAAGTCTGTTCAATTTCATGGTATCTGATGTCTTGATTTCTGTCTTTAACTTCGTTCCTTACGAAAATGTTTATTTATCTTAGAGGTTTTACAAGTATGTATCTGCGTAAATTAATTAATTGAGGTGCATTTTCTAGACTCTGACGTAAATAGAAATATCACTGAATGTCTATTCTAACATTATTCTTTTTAAGATCTGCTTTAAGATGAATTGATACATCCATTTTTGCTTCGGTATATTTTCTCCATAAGGTATATATAATATGCATAGAATTTACTATATCGTCTCCCTGTTTTCGAATGCTGATATCTTATACAGATGAATATAAATATTGGTTAGCGTTCTTTAGCGAGTTAGTTTTCTATTAGTTTTCTCTTCAATAAGATTCGGGATGAAGAACAAGTACCAACAGACTGGAAAGAAGGACTTCTGATCAAAATACCAAAAGAAAGGCGATCTCAGCAGCTGTGATAACTACAGGGGCATCACTCTTCTCTCAGTACCAGGAAAAGTCTTCAACAGGGTATTGTTAAACAGAATGAAGGACTTCGTAGACGCCCAACTTCGAGACCAACAGGCTGGATTCCGTAAGGATAGATCGTGTACAGATCAAATCGCAACTCTACGGATCATTGTGGAACAATCAATTGAATGGAATTCATCACCCTACATCAACTTCATTGACTACGAAAAAGCATTTGATAGCGTGGACAGGACAACACTATGGAAGCTTCCTCGATACTACGGCGTGCCTCAAAAGATAGTCAATATCACACAGAATTCCTATGATGGATTAAACTGCAAAATGGTGCATGGAGGATAGTTGACAAAGTCATTCGAGGTAAAGACCGGTGTCAGGCAAGATTGCTCACTCTCACCCTTTCTCTTTCTCCTGGTGATCGACTGGATCATGAAGACGTCAACATCTGAGGGGAAACACGGGATACAATGGACATCTAGGATGCAGTTGGCCAATCTAGACTTCGTAGATGATCTGGCCCTTCTATCCCAAACGCAACAACACATGCAGGAGAAGACGACCAGTGTAACAGCAGCCTCAGCAGCAACAGGTCTCAATATACACAAAGGGAAGAGCAAGATTCTCCGATACAACACAGCATGCAAAAATCCAGCCACACTTGACGGAGAAGATTTGGAAGATGTAAAAACCTTTACATATTTGGGAAGCATCATTGATGAATATGGTGGATCTGATGCAGATGTGAAGGCGCGGATCGGCAAAGCAAGAGCAGCATATCTACAACTGAAGAACATCTGGAACTCAAAACATCTGTCAACCAACACCAGGGTCAGAATTTCCAATACAAATGTCAAGGCAGTTCTGCTGTATAGGGTGGAAACCTGGAGAACTACGAAAGCCATCATCCAGAAAATACATGTGTTTATTAACAGTTGTCTACGCAAAATACTTCGGATCCGTTCGCCGGACACTATTAACTGCAATCTACTGTGGGAGAGAACAAACCAGACCCCAGCGGAAGAAGGAATCAGGAAGAAGCGCTGGAAGTGGATAGGGCACGGATTAAGGAAAGCACCAAACTACGTCACAAGGCAAGCCCTCACATGGGAATCCTGAAGGCCAAAGAAGAAGAGGAGGACCAAAGAACACATTACCTTGAGAAATGGAGACATACATGAGAAGAATGAACATCAATTGGATCGAACTATAAAATGCTGGTTGGCGGCCTATGCTCCATTAGGAGTAACAGGCGTACGTAAGTAAGAAGTTTCGGGGAATACTGGATATTAAACCGACGCCCATAACATTTTAAAATAGTTATTTCTGGGAGGAAAACTACGCCCTACTCTGTCCCATGCATTCTAATCAAAATAAATTGCTACAGATTCAGTTTTTTATTATTTTCATTGAGTCATACAGTCTGGGACAATTACGCATCGATGAGCAAAAGTTATGTAAAACTATAAAAAATATAGTTGTGCCAATGTTGAACAATGTTTTCGTCTAAATTATATAACTGAAAATCCCGTATTGATATACTAGGTAAACTAGAAACGAAGCATAAGCAAATTCATCCAGGAGTCTTCTATGTTTACTGTTACTACTAATCTCAGTTGGTGAACTTCAATATTTTACAAAACGTTTAGGAAACTATAGTACTTGAATATTGGTTAGAAAGACATTAGATGCTTTTAAATATATTGTGCTCTAGAACAACATATATTAGCGAACAATATTGTTTTCGATTAAGTCCTCTAATATACAGTAATATTTACGTGCATACACCAAATTATTAAGTCAATCAAAGCAGTTTATGGTTGTATTTATTATTATTATTATTTTCCGTACTCTTTTTTCGTTTATTTCTCTTCACCCCCTCCCACCCTTTTCTTTTCTCAAATATACGCTTCACGGTCCGATTATCTGAACACTTCTTATTACGTAATCTTATAGTTTTTATGAACATTATTTCAGTGTCTATAATTTTCTAATGATTGACCTATTTCCCATCATGAAACATTGATTCAAGTCTTTATTATTCTTATCGCAACTAACACACCTATCGCCACACTACCAATTTGTACTTTTCACTTATTATGTTTATTTACGTAGTCTTTTCCACTGTTATCATTGACTCATAAACTACCTTGATTGGTTTAATAATTTCATGTATGTATATAAATATTACTGTATATTAGAGTAAAACCTGATGAGGATTTAATCGAAAACAATATTGTTCGCTGATATATGTTCTTCTAAATCACAATATGGGAATTTTTCAAATATTGTACTCTGATTAAAAAGTTGTACCAAATCTGTTTTTTTTACCTTCTTTCCATTTTTGTCTTTATGTATTAGTTATTGAATTACTTCGTGTTCTAATGGGATTCGATATTGCTGATGATATATTAATGGCTTTAATTACCTTGTTAAAACCTCAACATGAAATACAGCTAGGTAAATTATTCACCGAAGCAACATCAGATGATAACGATGATGAAATAAGTTCATCTCATATGGACAGTACTGAGGAAAGTTATCGTAAGTGTAATTAAATAATTTGATCGTAAAAATAACATTTCTTTCATATTCTGTTTTTGATTGTACATAATAATAAAGTTGATTTATGACTTATACATACACTAAAACAGTAATTTAAGTATGTAAGTAGTAGTTAGGACAAAGATGAATGTGGTTGAAAGATAACTTTTGGTTTATCTTATTGTTATGTTTCCAAATGATTGTCTACAGAAGTTCGGTAGGCTCTATTAAATTGTCTACATAATTCTTGATATTAAAAATGGTGTAAAATACTCTAATGTCATTTTTACAATGTCAAGTTGAAATTAATTCCAATATAATGACAATTAATATGAGTCAGCTGTAAAAATAATCATTTTATATTGATAATATCTATCTTCTTCAACCTTATTATTCATATCCCCATATCATGAACTGTTATCTAACTTCATATTCGATCATAAGAGGAAACATAGAGTCTTGGATGTATATTCCATCAACCTACCACACTTCTAACATAATACAATAAAATAAGAAAATCGATAATCAGTGAATGTTTAGTTGGTACGGAAAAAAAGGGTGAACAGGAAGCAAGTATAAGTTGATTGTAGTAAATTCAGGGTTTTTGTAAGCATATAAATTACTTGAAGTTTGTATTGATAACTATATCAAGTAATGTGTACATCAGGAATAAGTACTCTTAATTGTCTGAAAAATCTGTCTCAGTTTATCCCTGACTCTTAGTTTGTCATATATTAGAAATATCTATACAATACTTAGACTTATAATTATTAAACACTATGCTATTTGTTTAATATCACTTTGCCATCTTATCTTTTTTCCAGCTTCTCATCCTATCTCGTTAGATAGTCGTAATATTAGTGGCATGCCAGAAATGAAACCTCTATCTATGAGCAATACAAAGTCAACTAAATTAAATGTCAAATACCCTAGCACATGTGCTAACGGTAACAGCGGTAAAACGGAAAAAACGATGAAAAAGAATCATAGACATCAAAATCAAGGGTCAGATTCAGAATTCGATGGTAATCAACCATTATCGGTGTTTGTTCAACAAGCAGCTGCAGCTAAATGTCTTCGGTAAGCAATATTCAGTAATTGTTTATCTACTTGTTCTTGCATATTTTGGCTACTAATAGAAACTGGTTCGTGTAGTCTTTTTAGTACCCAGGAGTTAGTGAACTCTGTTCATGAGCTAACGTGGGCAGTTAAGTAGAGACCGGGTTTACCACCCACTCTATCACAGATGGAGATCAAGTTAATCATCCGCTCTGTTTTAAAATCTGATTAGTAGGGAGGGACAGTTAACTTTGTATTGATGTGTGTGAAGTGTAGTGCTGGAGAAAAATTCCTTTCGGTGCTTGATCGGGTTCGTTTTGGAAAGGCTCATTAGATGTGTCAGGAGTGGGACAGAGCGAAGGCTATACACTGTGTTGTAATCAGCGAGTAGGAGTCGACACCAAACTTGTTTGTGACATGAGCGTGATGAAAGCACGTCGTCAATGATGACTTGTATCCCAATTGATTTGATTGTTTGTTATTCATTAAACTTTTGGTAACCGCTGAACTATGGCTTGGTGAGTATACTATGGAATGTATAGACCTTGATCTGTGCACTCTGTATGTGCATGTAAGGTACACTTGTGAGCAATAACATCTATACCTATGTGTGTGTCATGGAATGTGTAGATCTTGGTCCATGTGTTCTACATATATATTTAACTTTTGCTTGGGACCGCGCGCATCACTGCTCATGTGCGTACTGAGGAATGCATATGCTTTTGGTGAGCACATTCTATGTAAATATAAAAGGCATACTTGCGACAGTTCCACGTCCCATACTGATGTATTAATTGTATCTCTAAACGCATTTTAGGTGTTAGCAAGTTTCCGAAAGTAATAGTAAAGTGTGGACTGTAACGACCATCTTCACTACAGATATCGATTTCCCCTACTGGCATGTAAAACGCAACAGAGTGAACTGTTAATGCATCTGTTTGCTTTGCTTTCTCCAGTGGTTCAATCTCGCACACTTTTCTTTGAAATGTCTTTTATTTTTTTCTGAAAGGCCTACGAGCTTCTACTTTTCTGGGCGGGAATACTACTACTACAGTGATTTAATCCATATCAAATCTTTTAAAAAAAGAGCGCAAAGTAACCTCCCAGTTTATATTTCAGCCTAATGGCTTAAACAAGTAGAATAAGCAATTTACTATTGTAACGGATACAATGATTGAGAATTATTTATTCCTAATTTTTAAATCTTTTTTGTGAAACAAACTTACAACAACTATTACTTTATTATTCGATTAACTACTGACATTTTGGAAATACTTCGCTGAAGTTTCATCTGTTATGTGCATCCATTCATCGCAACAGTTATCGAGTTCTGATACTTTGTTCTTGTCTTTCTCAAAGAAAATAAACGTTTTTTCGAGGTACAGCGGTGAAGAGTCCTCAGTTTGTATGTGTAAATGTGACAAATAAACACACCAGCGTAGGGTATCACACGATAAGTACGTCTCTTAAAATTAATATGTGCGAAACGATGTATTCCTGTGCTAGGAGAAAGATAATAAAATTGATAAGTGTACAAGTGATAGATAGATGTGGGATAACGAAATGTTTATGGCATAAAGAAAGATGGAAAGAAGTAAATGTACCCATCAGTTTTAAAGTCTGGATAACTCAGATCAGTACATGATAGCTTTATTTATTCGCATCAGTAAACAGTGGGTTTTCATGCGTAACACTTGTTGCAAACTCTTTAATCGGTATTCAGAACCATCAGTTTCTTTGGGAGGTTTGATGTCGTTGATCCGTCAGCTAAAAACTCTTCAGTAGCTTCATGTTGTATACGTGATTGGTAAATACAAAACTGGTCTAGACACTTTAAAGCTGACCAAGGAAAGAAAATTACTTGAAATTACTTACTGTCCTGCCACTAGTATTCAGAAGACTTATCTTGTGAACATTTCAAGCAAATAACCTTTTGTTTAGGCAATAGATCAAACAGTGTAAGAAGAAATAGATCCCTCTTAATTTCCCCTACTTTTGGTTTCCGATTAGAATTAGCAAACAGAAATCATTCTGTTTCCCTTTGTCACTAACCACGATTATCTCACGAAAAAATACTTTACAGCAGATAATTTACTTTGTGTAGTCAACAAATGATGTGTAGGAAATTTATATGCCAGGTGTTTGGGATGTATTTCTGTCCCTCTAAATGCAAGTTGTTGCTACAGGTCTGGCCTGCATCAACACCTGAACTAAGCATAGGGAGTGAAGCAGTCAAACGCGTCAACAATTTCACTTATCTTGGAAGTCTGGTCAACCCTAATGGGTTGACGTCTGACGAAATTTCCGCGTGGATTCGAAAAGCTCGTTTGGCTTCTGTCAACATACATCACCTATGGCGAAGGTGAGATATCTGTCTATCAATTAAGGGACGAGTATACTGTGCGGCAGTTTGTTTTGTTCTACTTTACGATTGCTAAAGGTGGCATTAAGAGTACAGGATACCCGTATTTACTAGTACTTTCTTACAAACGTCTTAGAAATATTACACGCATCTGCTGAAATCAACAGTTAGGTTATAGTGAGGTTAGACACAGGGTATTAGGTAATGATGGTAAATCAGTTGATGAGGTTGTGAATCTTCATTGACTGAGATGTTTGGGCCACGTGTTGCGTATGCCTGAACACCGACTACCACGACGCGCAATGCTGATTAGTGTTGGGGATGTTTGGAAGAAAGTCAGGGGCGACCAAACCAAAACGTGGCATCAGTGCTTGAAGTTACTAACTTCTAGTCTTAGCCATGTTGTTAAATGCAGACTACTTGGTTGGAGTCCACGTGACCATCGTAACCAATGGTTGGAGACTCTGGGTAACATGGCTCAGAATCGATCACAATGGCGTAGGTGTATACACTGTTTGTCTTCCCTAAAAGCGTTAGATTAAAATTGCTTTATACCTTTCGTTCTATGAATTAATTATTTCTTATATTACATCCTTATACACGATCTTTCTTTTATATATTACTACAATTGTAGTGACTACTTCTATGAATTTGATGTTGGTCTTGTTGTGGTAATAATGTGTGGCAGCTTGGACGGTTACATATTTGTGTCTGGTCCTACGTTTTAGTTGACTGACTGATTATATATGTACTTAATGCCTGACTATATTTGTCTATTTTATGTGTGTTAACTGTATAGCTTACTTTTTGTAATAAATTCATTCAATCAATGTCAATTTTAGAAATTTCGTATTATTGCATATATTCTAATAGAATCTATTGTGACACCACTGATAAGATTCAGCGTAAAATGACTCAGTATTCTGTCTCCTATAATCTGTCCTGTATATATTTTCTGAAGAAATATAAATTGTCAAGCATGCTGTTCATATGTGCATGATTACTCTTCAATAGGACAGTTTTATCACTTTTATATTAGAATAGTTATCCACTTGATTTTTTTTTATAAAGAAAAATATTTTTATTATTAAAATGAAATAATAGTTTCTCTTCAATTTCAATATCCCAGTTTATCCATAGAAATATATACATATGTATGACAGGTTAGTCTATATGTTCATGTTTGTCATGACTTGTATTGTCTTTTGTCCTATTAAATGACAAAAAACCTCAATATTTAGGTACATGTGACTGAATTGCAGATAATAGTATATATATAACAAATCAGTTAAATAAGCAAACATTTGCTTTTTATTTTTAATCACACTTCGATGGTCATCATTTGATAGTAATACGTATTAATATATAAAAACATTGTATCGTATATTAGTCTTCATGTTAACTTACTATACATTAATTGAATTTAATTTGAAAAGATTATTAATTAAACTCTATATAAAGTTTAAATAAAAACTGTAGAAATCAAATGAGTTTTTGATAGTTGACTAATGCTAAGTTCATTGACATTTTACATTTAATAGAGAATCAATGCAAAATCTAGAGGTTTAATCAAACATTCAAATTTTTTTGACTGTATATTTGAATCAAATTCAATATTTTCGGTTTTCTTAACCGACATTATCATTCAGTTCCTATGTACTTTTTGCATATGATAATCCAACTTGAATATATTCGCAATTCGATGCAGTTGAAATTAAAACTACAATTTTAATTATAACCTAACATCATGTTAGGTGTATTGAAAATTCAAAAGGACTTGAAAGATTTCACATCTCTTAAGTGTTCATCTACATTCTGGAGATAACCCTAAGGGTTCACACTCATAATTTTAACTAAATCTTGCCAACATTCAATGAAGTTGGTGTTAACCGTTTCTTTTATGCTGACCATCCATTGGTTACGTCTTTAAATAGAACTTTTGGAAATTCACCTTGAAGCTAGACGCTATTATTATTTAGTTTTATTATTGAGAGTGGTTGTTATGCAAAGATTTCTTTTATGCAGTGATGTTGTGAATGAATACTCGGGTGGGGAAAACCAATATTATATTTAATACAAAATTACAGAATATTTTCGTAAAATATGAGAACTATAGACTAAACACTTCATTTGCAAATATTCCATCAATTGTCTTTGACATTTTGTATGATTCTTCCAATTCACGTTTCCTTTCTATTTCCTTTTCTGTTTTTTTTCCAACTCGATTTTCTTAGCCTTCTGCCTTCATGCATTCCACTTCTTACTGGTGCTGCATATGACTTCTATTTGTCGACTTAAGTAACATACACCACAATATCATTTTTAGTGAGCTATTGAACTATATTACTATATCGATTTTTTTGTAACACTTAAACTTATATCTCCAATGTATATTTCTTTTGTATTCCTTTCTTGCTAACCTCTTACGAATTCGTGCATCCAAAGCATTCTCTCGCAAGATTCTTCAACAGTATCAAGAAAAATAATCAAGGTAAATATTTTGATGTCGTCTTTTAATTCACTGGGTCTAACGCGTTTATCACTTGAAATTTCTGATCACAGTAAATTGAGTCAATTATGTCACTTCTCTATTTGTCATTTTTCTTTTAAAAAAATCTATCAACGAGATGATAATTTGTTAAATAGTTATAAATTTGCTCGCATAATGCAAAGATTTTGTATGCATTTGTTCTAATCACCTTAGTTTTACATCTTCATCAACTGATTTATAATCTTACACAGTTCTTTGCACGTATCGTCAGCATTTTTGTAGGCAATTTTATTCTAACTGAGTATTACTTCGAAGAAACCGGTGACCCATTGCATATGACCTGTGCGTTTTTGGACTTTCCATAGATATGTTTCAAATAGCTAAATTGTAGACTACTAAATTATATTTACATCTTTTTTGATAGATAATAAAATGGTTTACTGCTTCATAGGTGATACAATGTTCGAAATTCTCAATTCTAGGCTATTAAATCTGTATTGTAGTTAAGTCAATTATGCATCTATCAGAACAACCGAATTAGACTATATACTTGACTGGCTAGCATTTCTGTCCAATTTGTATTGTTTAAAGTATAACAGATACACATAACAATGTCCAAATTAATAAGATCTATTATTGAATTTTCTATTTATCCATTTGGAAATTACTTTAACAAACACAATAATAATGGTAGTAATACAAAATAGCATTATTGAATTGAGTGTAAAACAGGAAGTAAAATTAATAGATTTTTAAAAATATATATTTCGTTTTGTCTATGGAGAGTTTGACAATATTCCGTTTTATATGGAGCCTTGCCGTGTTATACTTCAAAATTAAATAATATTCGATACAATTTATCGCATTAATATTAAGGTGATTAATTCCTTTTAGAGCTACTTAGTTAACATTATTGTCCTCGCATTTTGAAATTACTATTCGATGCATTATATGCCGTGTGTGTATGTGTATAAGTATGATTAATTTGATAAATCTCCACTTTTCTTGACTATACATATGTGTATGAAATTTTAGGCGCTATTTCATGATATATGCAAAACCATATGTAATGCGCCAATTTTTATCACCTAGGAAGCGAAGACCAATTACAATTAAATCATTAGCAAAATGAATGTTCCCGAACGAACACGTCGGTATATTTGAAATTTTACGCAGAAAATCACGTGAATATATGACATATATATCACTTTTGCGCACTATTTTTTAAACCTACCAGCGAAACAACGATTTGTTGAATAATCGTAAATTAGCTTGTGTTTGCGAAGATTTATTATGCATTTGTCAAATTATATCATGTAGTGACTTGTTTTTTGTACTTGAGCAAAAAAACACCATTGACATTTGCCTAACTGATTGATGGTACATGTAGCAAACATAATGTTCTCTATGTATTCAATTATCAGCCATTATGTTAATGTTGTTGTGATGGTGTTCATTGCTGTCTTTTTCTATCAGTTGTTTTTAACATAAATTCCAGCATCTTGTCTGTATGACGGCTGGTTTTTAATTGTGCTCTGTGCTCTTCCTTATTTATTGAAAGAATAGTGGGATATCACTTTTTTTTCTTCTCGTTATTGATGCTTAACAATTATTAATCGTGTGAGGATATTTATTTGGGAGAAAGTATGTATAAATGTTATGTATTTTTGGAAATATTTATTCACATTATTCCATTTACTGTATACTAAGTTAGATTGATTTCACTTAACCAGTTATTACATGATTATCTTTTTAAACATACTTTCATCCTCACCATCTGATATGTTTGTCCACTGCGTTAATCATTCGCGCCACTTCAATGTCAATATCGTGAAATAAAAACTAACTTCTTATAGTTCTTTTCTCTTCCTCGCTAAACTAAAAAGACTAGTTCTTTAGATGAATCTATTTAATGTTCATTTTGTGTAGTCATTCAGAAAGACATAAACATTTCTCGATTATATATCAGTGAAAAGAAATATGATTAAGGTATTTAAACTGAGTATTTATCACTAACTCGAAATGCTTTAAAAATCTATTAAAATTTCAAATATAATATTTACATGAAATGATAATTTATTGTAAAAGAATTTTAACCTAATCAACATTGATTTTTATAAGTTTTAATTTAAGATTTTACATCTTCAACATCATTGTCATCATCATCATCATTCATTTTTCTTCTATTAGATGGGCGCTTTATCAAATCTTTTATATGCTATGGGTAATCTTGAATTTTCAGATAGTCAACGACAAGCTAGTTTAGCTTTAGAGGTAAATGTAATCATTTGTATTGTTTGTTTTAAAGTTTTGTTTTAAGTTCTTTTATAATTGAAATAAAACTTAAAATTTATATATTAAAATTAGTCATATAATTTGTGACTGTTAGATGCAACTAAGATTTATGAAGTAAATAGTTAATTCGTCCAATGATACGATTTATTTATAGGATAACTATTTAGAAAATTTTTAAAAAAGTTTCCCACAAAATCGTTATCTGGTTGATAATGAGATCTATCCTAAATGTTGTATATATTAGTTTAGAGATTGTTGGCGTGTGAATTTGCATATATAAACTAGAGTCTACTGTTTTATAATTATGATAATGAGATTTGAATTATTGTTGTTGTTATTATTACTACTAATAATAACTTATATGGCCTTCAGAAGTAAGCTAAGAATTCTAAATAATTTACTCAATTACTACACAATTGGTGGGAGGAGGAGATGAATCGAGTTAAGGCACATTGACAGTTATCAAACCGTTTAAAATCATTCCTTATATCCATAATATTTTTGAATCGATTCTATTTATTCTTTTATTAAGTAGTGTACATACCATTAGAACTCTTTAGACTAAAATAGTTCTCTGAATATTTAGTTTATTCGAATTTCAGTTTCGTTGTATATAAGTATTATTACAAATATTTGTTACATCTTAACATTGATAATTTTAGTCACTATCTGAACTCACTTTCAATATGGTACCTTTTAAGAAAAGGAACTATGATATCTAACTGAATTAAGTAATGGATAATTTGACTAATGATAATAATAATAATCTCTATAAACTCTTTTGTGTTTTTTATCGTTGAAAATTTCAGTATCTTTGTCAAACGTATCCTTTAGTAGATGAAGTTGTTTCTGAGGCAATGGGTCCAGTTTTACATGAGGAATTCATTGTAAGCAATAAACATATTTATTTCTATATTCTGTTACTTATGATATTATAGAAAGATATTAGAATTCTCTTGCTCACTGATTACATTTTCATATATTTTGGAGTATAAACTTCGTCACATATATATATATGCTCCACAGAAATAATTGAACTTGTTTACGGGGTGGGATACTGTCCGGATGCACAACCTGGAGCAGTTGATTTTCTCAGGAGGCTACTCCCCAAGGCTTTGACTTAGAAGTGGAACAATGTTTTGAGTTGCGACCTCATAGTAACCGGTGACCAAGATTACACTATTTGTTCCCTCAAAATCCTGGAACCCACATGCCCTGTTGCTTTGTAATCAGGATTTTCTGACTTACTTAGATGGATCCTCCATACCAACGAACTGGGTTTAGTTTCTGGACATTCGCTTATCGTCCTCTTAATTTCGTAAACAGCACCCTCTCCACGAGAAGAAAATGGTAGGGCTTCCATAGTAGTGGCTATATACACATTGCCACGTGAAAGCATTTCGAGCCGTGCCAGGGCATTAATTTTCTGGTTAATTGCAATTTATAACTGTGATATTACCACTAAACATGTTTTTTGTTTTATACTATTCTAGAAAAATCCTGATTCACACTATCTACAAATGACTCCATTACAAGCAGATATTTTAGTTTCGAATAAAGTGAATTTTACAGGAGGTGAGTGGTTTACTTGTTTTCACCAATAATCCTATTTATTATATGATGTCAAATTATTGTCTGTCATCATTTAGCATGTGTTATGATTGAGTTATTGGAGTGGTCAATGCATCTTTTGGTGTTGTTAAACAAGCAATATGCTGGTTTCATAAAAATAACTTTATATTAAGTTTATTATTTCCGTTGATATTCCGTTGTCCCATGGTAAGCTAATAACACTGGCATGTAGGTAAATCCAGCTGATAAGTTTTGAATACGACGACATGCGCGTCCTGGATTCACTACTAGACACTCACCCAGTCATCGTGGTCGTTAAGGTTTAGGACCTATATTACTGTAGAAATATTCAGTAAATGGTCACTTGAATAGCCTTAAGTGGATTCTCTGAACAATCTTCGATGGAGTTTTAGAATCGGTGGGGTTATTTCACTAAAGCAGAACTAATACATCTGTTTGTCAAGTGACAATCTGTTTGGCCTGATATTAGGAAAAAACCCATCTGTGTACGCTGTGTAATCCCGTGGGGTTATTTTTGTTTTCAACTTTCTGATTAATCTATGTTATCCTACCACTAGGGATAAAACCGACTGGTTATTGTGGTTTAATCATTTACGCAGTTGATTTCAGCATCAACTTTGTTACAGATTCGAGCCTCAAACAGTTCATTTAACTTTAAGTAGTAGTTGCGATAAGGAATCATTACCAAAGTCGAATAACTGAATTTTTACTTGGTAAAACTAGTTACTATAACAGAACCGAAAGTTGAATTCACTTATAAACCAGATACTTGAGTATGAGTCATACTCTAAGTGTATGAGGTATATTGATATTTGCCAACATTGGATGTTGACATCTAAGTATGCGCATTGGATTTCGAACCTGATGCTTATTGACCGAAGATCGAACGGTTTGAAAATTCCTTTAGTTTTTTGCAAATTATGTCAACTAGTCTGTATTTTTTCTCGTAATCAAAAATCCAAGTTTTCTTTTGACAAATTTATCAGTTGAGTAATTCGCCACAATTTCGTTACGTCACTATATTCAATAGATTTAAGTTTTACAATAAAGAGGAGAACGATTGAGTGGACACTAAGCTATGGCGGGAGGAGAAGAAAAACACAAATTAAGATAAATAAGATTTATTCAGATTTACACAGCTTATCTCGCTGCGTATCTTATTTTACCGCAGGGGATTTTCGTTGTTATTATTCTCCACTATTTTTTATAGATTGATGGCGATAATGATGCATGAAGAATAATATTTGCCTCGTCTTTGTTTTGTTTTAATCCAAAACACATATACGTTGTTGCTTTTTCTGTAAATATCCTTTTTCTATGTTAGTTTAGTAGGGAATTGTTCTAGTTGTCCATATACTTTTTTCGTATGTTGTACATGATAAAACAGCAGTTGCTCTAAATAATTGTTGATTTATGTTGCGTATTTAACTTTTTCTCATCTATTCTGATTATTGAGCAAGTTAGTTTACTCGTTATTAAAGAAGCGTTTTCATTTTAATTTCACCACTGACTGCTAATACTACTTTTTTACCTGACACTTTCTTCACTACTGTATATTATACGTGTCTGTGTATATTTTCATACTTTTCAAACTCTCAATTACGTTACTCATGTGCCAAGTATAGGTCTACATATTCAGATTTGAGTTGCATACTTTCTGGGTGCAATTTCTAGTGGATATTGTCAGTCTGTTCAAAAGGAAGTAGAGTTCGAACCATTCTACACTAACCATTATGTCCATATCGTTCCATACTTTTGATATTTTGTAATGATATTATGATAATAATATGACGGAGCAAAAATAAAGTTTAATATTTGAACATTGATTGCAGTAAAGAGTGAATTACCTATAGTTCTTGCATTCCCCAATTGCTTATTGAACGACGTCTAATCACGTTTATTCCTGTGTTCAGTATTCTAAATATGTGTTATTTTGACAAATGGAAAAACCTATTCCATTCGATATCTGTCTTGTTTTCTGATATCAGTTCATTTGGGGGCTTGCGTCATCAAATCGGTCACGTGAGCAACCATGACTCGGTCACATCGTATCGTCGCATTTCATCGATCGATCAACTCATTTTGTCTGTGCGTTTATTTATCCCCAAACGTCCTTTCATAACAAGCAAATGGTTAATTCATAACGGTGTTTTTTGATAATTCTAGCTTGTTACTTTATGATAGGTGTTTTTTCTAGGAATTATGTTATATTTTATGGAAGTTTTGGTGAAATAGTTGTTGTACCACACAATTTTTCAACTGCATTAATGTGTTTGCTTTTCACTAATATGACTAAGGAGGAGAAAGGTGTTAATTGCATATGTATCACTCGGTTTTTTAAAACTTAGACTGTTTTAGTCTGACAAATCAAATATATGAACGATTTTTCACATGCCAATAGACATAATATAAAATGTTTGTTATGATCCGTTTTGCCTTTTGTTAATTATAGAAGTTGTATCTAATGTAGTAATTTTGTGAACTATATTTTCATCCTTGTTATCTGGTTAGTTATACCAACATGACTGAAGTTTTTATGTATAAACGACAATCCTTCAGAGTCACTTAATCACAGTGGTTAAGCACCTTAGGTGACATTTTAAAATTGTTCACAGTAGTACATATGCTCTTTTTATGTTTTGGTTTTTAATTTTACATTCTTATTATGCTCTTTACCTTTTTAGTCTTCCACACTATGACTATTATATTATTATTATTTCGATTACTTTCTTATTCATTCGGTTACTTTCTTTTTCTTTTATTTTTAAAGTGCTGATATGTTTTGACACTTTAGATTGATGGACATTTATGCCAAATTCTAAGTTGTTTACAACTGACTGGTTAATTCATAAGATGAGAAGAATTACTGTTAATTCCTTATAAATTTTTGATATAAATACCTAGAATATTATTATTTTATTCTTGATTGAAATAACTAACCTATTTTGTTTGTTTGTTGTTCCACTTAAATATCTAGGGTCAAATATAAGCATTATGCTAATCCAGGTAACAACTAAGGTTAAATTAAGTGTTTAAATCAAACTTTTAACATTTTATAAAATTTATCACTCTATCCAAACTTCATTCCTCAGCTATATCCTTTTAGCACTCGTTTAAAATAGTCGGCTATTGTGTTCATACATATATACACAGAAAGACACTCAATCTGTTGTTTTTTCGGCTTTAATATTAATCTTTACCGTTTCCTACCTCCACGTGTGATATGCTATAAGTAGTCACTTATACAGATTTTACAAAGGAAAAATAAGTTTTTCTGCCAAATTATTCTAATTTTGATTTTTCTATGTTTTGGTCAACTAGACATTAACTTAAACTAACTAACTAACGAGAACTAGAAGTATTATCGATTTATATTTTCTGGGCTAAACTAACTGGTCGATCGATCGACCAGTAATGTGGACGATATACTTTTATTGTTCTTCTTCCTGTTGTTGTCGTTATTGCTGATGGTGATTATGTTAGTGGTGGTGATGGTGGTGAACGTGTGTTTTGTTGTGTATTTTTCCTCCTATTTTAACGTTCACTGGTTAATATTTGAATAACTCTTTCTACCATTGAAAAATTGATATATATTTAAAGAGAGAGGGTAACAAAAATTATATTTTTACCTTGTAAATTATGTTACTCGTTATTCTTATTTTTTTTTCCTTGTGGAATTAGTAAATCTTTATTTTGTTATTGTCTATCCTCTTTTATTTCACTAAATTTTTCTTCAGATTTCCTAAGTTTTTATTTTGGTGAAATCGTAGATAAATGATAATGATGATGAGAATTAACAAACAATTTAGATTATATCAAAATTCCAATATATACCAGATAGATAGTAGATAAACATAAAGTATGTGCATAGATATGCATCACATTATAGAAGTTTAACTGTTTTTCTTAATTGCTTATTATTATAATAGTGATGTCGGGTACACTTGTGATATTCTAATTAATTGTTTACATTATTGGAATAAACAACTTGATAGAATTAAGAAATTTATAGTATACTGTACCTTCAAATTTCAGTCAGATAAGACTTCAAAAGATTGATTTAGTGACGAATTGACTATATGGATTTTTTATTAGGAAATTCGGAATAATATACACGTCATAATAGAAAAAGTCTTAATAAATATATGTTGTGCCGTAGAACAGTAAATTACTAAACTAGAAATTTAAAATAAGGACGATGCAGTATTTATTAATCAGTAGCCGTTAAGCATGAACTTCTCAGATTTTGCCTCATGCATATTTTTAAAAAAAACTAGTCATTTCTATAAATATCATAGTATTTTTTCTCAGAACTTATTTTGCAGTGAACGAGAACATCAATGGAGACAACCAAATGCATTTTAATACAACATTACAGAATATCTTGGTAGAATCTAAGAACCATACAGTATATACTTTATTTGAAAATTATCCATCATTTGTCTCAGACTACATTGTTATTTCATTTCCACATCGATCATTCTCTTCGATTTTCTCAACCTTCATCCACCAGGCATTCCACTTTTGACTTTTGATTTACATTACTTTTATATGTCGACATCAGTAGCACACACCACTATCCTGCTTTAGTCAACTGTATGTGTTCTGTATCCTTTGAATATATTTTCAAACTTTTCGATTTGTTTGTTTTTTCAAGATTTGTTTCAAGCATCATCTCAAGCCGACCAGCTATCATAATGACTAATATGGATAGAAGAGTACTATTTTCTAAAGTGTATTTAATGTATGTAGATAATGTTCCTATGACTGGTGATATAATACATTTTACTCCTAAGTTGCATCAATATTCATCGAATGCAAAGTTATCTGTCGTAAAATTATAATTTTTAACATAGTGTTAGTTTATATCCATGATTGTTTTCTCTAAATGATATCTTCCTAGTCGAAGACGATTAGTTTGGTCATTCAGTTTTGTTTTTCGAAAGAAATATTAATATCATTTCTTAATTTTCAAGTCATATTAAAAAAACAACTTTAAACATTCGGTTGTCATGATATGCCTTTGTTTGTCCTCTTCTTCTTCTTTTCTGTTAAGAAGACTAACTATATTCCACATTTTTCTGACAACTAGTGATGATGATTTACTAACTACATTATGATTTAATCATCTCATGGAATCTGAATTTTGGAAAATACTCATTTTCATATCAGGTGTAAAGTAAATATTAATGTTTTCTGACTTTCAGATTCAAATTCATCTGATTCGGTATGTCATTGACATTTGTTCAAATCATCTTGTAAATTGTCATATTTAATGAATTCAGAAGCAATGATTCTATATCATAAACTTTGAAATTTTTAAATTGTTCCACATGAATAGTTTTCTTTCTGTTAACCGCAAATGATCGATTATTGTTATTTGTTATAAATTTATCAGGTTTCAGTTAGAAAAATCTATGACGTTTGTCGAACAATTTGTTATGACTTATTGTCATAACTATTTCGAATATATTAAGCAGCGATGGATGATGACTAGTAGTTAAATCCAAGACGCGCGTCTCGTCCTGTTTGGTATTCGTCATCTGCCTGTACCTACATTCTATAGTTGGTGTTCATTTCGGGACTCAACCAATACAAATGAATTATTGTGAACGTTGTTGTTATATCTATCAGTTTTATATGAAGCTATGTTTTGTATTGTCACTTAATCATATCAGTACACATTTTAGAATTAGTACACAATTGCTTTTTCGTCAACCCTTTCGCCTTTTTTTACCCATGAATATATTATCAAATGATATTCTTTTATTGCGGCGTTTTGACCCGTTAATCAATACGTTTTTGGTTGTGAAGATTAACCTATTCTTTTTCGTTAAATTCACATTTAACATAATATGACCTTTATGTACTCTTCATCACATCAAATCAAATGACCTGTATGCATTTGTTTACATGAACAATTGCGTCGTTCGTGTGAGTGTGTAGATTTTATTAGACTATAACTAGTTTACACATACATATGTATGCTTGATGTATTTTCGTTACGCTCTCTTCACTAACCTAATCTCTTTGTTCTCCTAATTAATATGTATGTAATTGTTGCATGATCTCATATGATATGATTGAAAGTTAGCTTACATTAGTGTAGGCATACAAGATCAGTGTTTATTGATAATTATAGTCGTTATAACACTCTAACAATTATTATTCTTCAGAAAAAAATATTTTTCCAATCTAATGTACATAGTTTAAATATACTGTATGACAGTAATCGAATCATTTGTTTTTGTGGACAATAAAAGATTGAAATAATTTATGTATTGATTTAATCTCGTCAGTATTTGTGTATGTGAAAAGTGTTAAATAGATTTATAAATGTAATGTTCGAGTTTAACCTTTTTTTGCGTACTGTTGTAAACTGAGTTATGTCGAGAAACCAGATGACCTTTTTGGTTGTAACGTTCACCGAACGAGTAATCTGAGTCAAATGTACATTATTATTGGATTATTATCGACAGTGAATTAATCTGAAACTCTTTCAACGTATCCTTGTACATATAAGTACTGTTTATCTGGTGTTCCTTTTTTCTTTCTTTGCCCTCATTAAAGACAAAGTTTGATAAAGGGATTTTTGATGAATTTTCGTTTTTTTTCTTCGTTCAGTAAAATGAATGAAAAGTTTCCACTTTGTTTTTGCGTTGTTCTTTTTTTTTTCTCGGTTGTTGCATTACTTAATTCATTGTTGTCTACATTTTACATCTCCAACTATCCTTGTAATAAGTGTAATTCAGTTGTATTTGGCAAATTACCTTGCACTTACTTACTGAAATATTTATTTCTTTTATTCCAATCACTGTTGAGATAGTTGAAGTTAACATGATTTTCATATTATCATAAGCTGAGAAGGAAGGGAAAAATCATTTCAATGTACATCAAATTATATCATGGATTAGTGATAGATTCAAATGTAGGTTAAAAAATTATTCACTGAATCTTTATGAAATGCACAAGGTTTATTCCGTCTGTTTGACTTTATTGGGGATCATTGAATTCGATCATAATCCAGCTATTAATATGTTGTTTTTTTACAGCTTGTTTTATTTTGTATGGTATATATATATATAGGCATAAACATTAAAGTGTTCGGTTTTTCTGTTTCTTTGTCTCTTTAATTATTCACAATGGATATGTTATTTTGATCGAAAATCATATTCTCTACATTTAGTTTCTTATTATCATTCATAAATGCATTATTTCGACTATTATATCTGGTTAATTTTTATTCATACTTTGCTCATTTGTCATCTATGGTCAACTACTTAATTTACTGTTTAGTTAAAAGTATGTTTGTAATATAATAATTATTCATTTATGATTTATTTCATTGTTTTTATTTTTATGTAAAGAGGGATTATGAATTTATCAAATAATCAATTATTATTATATGATGAATCAAAGAATTTTTGAATTATATAAAATCAAATGGATTTACAATTACTCTATCTCACGTCAGTATTCATCTCTCTATCTCTGGAAGATTCTGCAGTCCATATTGAATTATCGATACTCTTCATCAAAATGGATAAAATCAGTTATTTATTTATATTTTCAACATGTGTGTTAATTACAATCCTATTTTTTATTTTCCTTGTTTAGACATATCTGTACAAAAAACACCAATGGATATTATTGTAGTCATAATATACATGTACATATATACATTTGTTTGTCAATAAATTGACTGTAGTAAAAAAAAAATCGTTTTCTATTTTTTTACTTTGTTTGTATTTATATATTGTTGATTTGGCCATTTTTCTGTTTGCTTACATTACACTATTTTATGTGTGTATATATTTGTAATTTAGTTTCCATGTTCGCATGTATGTACATGGATTGCTTCAATCAAGTTTAAATGTCATTTTGTCATAATCAATATTATGGTATATATCTCTGTTTTAATATGTGAACTATTGTAAATTACACTTATAAGATATGGTGTTTAAGACTAAAAAAACATTATAGTTTTACAATTTAACATGATATTTTCTCATTATATAATTTTCTTCGCTTGATATAAGCGAGATGATTTCGTCAACATAACGCGGTGCAGTTGGATCAACTTCTTGTCAAGAGAGGAACGACATCAAGTGTATTATAGGGTGTTTGAATATATCAATAATGTAGAGACACATTGTTATATAGTGATGTTTTACCTAGTAGTTAATCAGAATGATCGTTATTTATTTTTATTGTACTCTTTGAATCACTTCGCCCTGTATAGTGAAACTGCGTGAATATTATATATATGAAACACGAGATCATTTCTATATTTCTCATAACATAGGTATATCAAAATTGTTTTTGTCAATCTTAGTGTAGAAAGCATAATATTTGTGTTTTATTTATACGAAATGATTCAATTCACAACTTGATGACTAACCATGTATAAAGTATTTTGTTTTATGCTTTAAGCGGTTATTTTGCCCGTTAATAACTTCAGCTTGTCTGTTTAAATCAAAGTAATTGATGTAGTGTATCTGGCATATGTATTGAAAACAAAGATTTATAGTTTTATAGAAAATGAATTAAAACATAATTCTTAGAGATATATTGCAATCTAGTTTGTTTTTATGTTTAGCTTAGGGAAGTTGCGGTTCATATCTTTATATAAATATCAAGAGGTAAACTTATGCATGACATTAAAAGTGAGTGTAGTAAGTTCAGAACAAAGTTCGACCCTATAAGTTCATTTCATTTATTAAATTTTGTTTCATGTATTCTTTTGTAATTTACAATGGAGATGTTCTAACCGAAAGGAAATTTAATCTCACCAATTTTCATTTGAATCACATATTTCATGATGGAATTAATACTGTTTACTGAATAAATATCAATATGAGTACTTAAATTTAGTTATGAAACTGCTGAGTAGTTTAAAGATAAATTGATAATGGTCTCATGGAAATCAGTACGTGTACAGCGTTTGCATTCAAAATTGTTTATACATTATCGGTTTGGGTTATTTGTCAACAAACTGAGGCAGTCCTTTTCTCATTACCTTTTATTGTTGTTAAAGTGTTGATTCTGTTTTACCCACCAGTATTGTGAATCTAATTCATAGTTATATATTTACAGTCGATAGTTAGCTATCTGTTCTAGGTTGAATGATCTGATACTTTTATTATCGTTGTTGAAATCATTGAAATGTGAGTAAATAGTTTGATTTATTTCACTGCTACGGTGGCATTTTAAATTCTGGTTTCATTTTCTTCAATCACATTTTTTTCCAAAATTTGTTATCCTCTCTTTCTCTCTAGTTCTATTGACTTGCGCTCATATATATATATATATATATATATATATATATATATATATATATATATATATATATATACTCTTAACAGTACTAGAAGCAATTAACTTAGTAATTTCCTTTTCTTCTCTCTCCTTGGTGAGTTTTATCTTTTCCTCTCTCAGTTCTTTATTAAAGTAAAAGAAAAAGTAATTAGTCTGTGTCATATCCATTTTCAAATATAATGTGCTTTAACGAAACTTGCTAACTAACTGACTAACTATTGAATTCTCTGTTTAACATATTTACTAACTAAGAATGAGTTTGTTCTTTTCTCTTTTGTTTGTTTGTTTTCTTCACCGATATCTTGTTGTCTATTTGTTGTTATTTTTATTAATGTTTATCCTCTGCTTCTAATCAGTTGTGGATAGAAAAGAATGATGGTTATTTCTTGATGAAATATTGCTTTCTTTTGGTCCACACATATGTATGTAATTATAAATTAAAAATCTTATCTATTCGTTTCATTAATGAATTTCCATTTGAGGTAATATCCATTCGAGAAATTTTTAAATTTGTGTCAGTTTCTAAGGGTTTATTCATTTACAGGATAACTTAAGTTGAAAATTTCCGCTGCCTATAATTAACTTTACTTATGAATGGCTTCTTCCTGTCTTGTTGATTAATTCTTTGTGAAGGAAGGATCGTTATTTAGTGATATTGACCTGTCTTCTGTTCATTGTTATATCGTCATGCTGTCAGAATTTCGGTATCTAGTTTATTTATTCACTCTTGTTCTATCCATAACCCGAAGTTTATTATTTATTCCTTCTTTGTGTGTGTTTTTTTAGTCTTTCTTGGTGGTATAATATTGATAACTATTTTTCGTACTGTTTGATATAGGCAAACACTATGATACATCGTTTCGAATAACTTTATTTTTGAGCATTATTCAGAGATTTAGTCGGGCTACTAGTTGGTACAAATCAATAATAATAGTCTTGTTCGCTTAATTTCATTATACATCAGTATAGAATCTTTTTTACACCAGTGATGACGAATAAAGTTCGAGACTATCTGGGCAATTGCATCCGCTTAGTATCACAGCCCACACACAAATCAAGTGACTTGTATGGCTCATATGTATTCGGTGTCACTTTGTATCAATATTTATGCGTTCAAACAAATAAGGTATAAAAATCTATGTGTTTATCAATCGTCTATAACAAATAATCTAATTGTTGTAACGGTGGAATATTATACGACAAATAGTTTGGATGGATTCAGTGTGAATAAATAATCAATAGTCATAAAGATCGAACTAATATCATGCTATTGATATCAGTGATACAATCTAAGTTTGGAAGTTATTTTGAAGTCGTTTAGTAAAGCACACTAACTATCAATCTAGGAACCGTATGAAATATCTCAATTTCGTCCCTAACGAAACTGATCTGTACTCATGTGCACGGGTTCTGTCTGTCTGTATTGTGCAAAATATATACTTGATTCTTTTTTCTCTATTTTTTTTAGCTTGAAAACTTTCAATACAGCTAATCAGTAATTTTAAGACATTAAAGCGTCAAAAATATTCAAGGGTGGATTCGTGAAAATTTGTAGTTCCAATCTTTTAGCAAGTATTCAAATTATTCATTGAATTTACGCTCGTTTCAATTTTCGTCTGATTGTTTGTCAATGTGCACAACTGAATAATATTTTCTGTGTACTTATATTGTATGTAATTATATTTATACGTATAAATTCATCAAAACAAAAGAATGGATCATCCAGAGCCGATTTCTAAACGTCCTATAGAAATTCCACAATGTCGTAAAGGTTTCAATTTAGATGAAGCAAAAAACTTTATCGATCAAATTATGGAAGTATTTCGTAGTTTAGATGATATGACAGATCTACGTTCAATGTATGAAACTGGTAAACAACTAAGTCGATCATATTTTGATTGTCATACGTATCGTTTGGAATTAGCTCAATATTTAACGAATTGTGATTATCCTGCTTTTGCGTCCAAAATGATGAAAAAATTGAATAATATGGGTGTGTTCAAGAATGATGATATTTGGTTCTCTTCATTTTATTTCTATAATACAACATGGAATTTTTCTGATATTTGGCCAGAATTTGCCACTGCCTTAGCAATTGCTGGTTTACCAAATCTACTTAATTTAAATATTGGACATCAACCATATTTAGAGAATTTAAGTAGTAAAAATGTATATTATTTAATTAAAGCTAGTTTATCTATCATACATAATATAGCTCGTGTTCCAGGTAATACACATTATTTTGCATCTGAATCAGTTCGACAAGCATTATTACATTTAGCTCAACGTGAAGAAGAATTTTTACACTGTGTTTCCACACTTTGTTTAGCGCACATTATTACTGAGTCAGAAATTCATTTAATTACTGACATATCAAATGGTGGTATTGATTTGTTAAGAATTTTGTTTGGCTATGTCACATCAGCTCGTGTTTCCGAGAAACGAAGATGTCATGGATTCCAAGTGCTTGAATTATTATCCTCTGTTGCCGCTTTATCTGTTCTTGATCCCGTTAAGGCGAATTTATTGTCATCACCTGTTAATGTGAATTTGATTGCTGGTACAAATAATAATCAAAGCACAGAGCATAGTATGACATGTCTAAGTTTACTGAAAGAATTAATTGAAACTGCATTACTTCCTAATTCCAGTCCTGTTTCTATTAGAGAAGCAGAAGAAGCAGTTCGTATCTTATGGAATACAGTTTTTGATTCATCCATTTGCACAGGAGTTTTACAGATACAATTAACAAGTTGGTTAAGTGACACTATGGCAAATCATGCAGTTGCTTTACAAACTTATAAATCTCTTTCACGTGCAATTGAATCTATTAATTGGCAATTGAATACTTGTATTTCGAAAAATTCTAAAAATGAACCTACAGAGTGTGGTCCTGTATTATTATGTTTCTCACCGTCTAACCGTATTGCTGTTAACCGAGTGGCTGGTCGTTTAAGAGATGCTGGGATTATGCTTAATAGTATTCCTTTTGGTCCCGAAGTAATACCATCATTAGATGCTTCAGCAACTGGACTTACTATGTGTGCGGCTAATGCTACAAATCATGCTCAGTGGGTTGAATCTATTGAACAAGCCTCAGTCATGATCGCATTTTTAAGTGATTCATTTCGCTTAAGTCCTGGTTGTCGATGGGAAGTGGAACATTTTTCTAGTTTTGATACAAGCGTATACTCAAAACCTATTATTCCTGTTATACTACAACCAAAATTTAAGTTGACTGGCTGGCTGAACCGTCTCATTTCTCAACATCCTATTGATTTCAATGGTAAACGTGATCCAGAAGCAAGCTATGATGCTTTGATTAGCCAGGTAAAAGAATTTTATGGAGAGGCAAAGAAGCGTGCGGAGGCTGCTGCCTTAGTTGCAGCACAACATCAGTTATCCATTGATGCCAAAAAACACTTATCAACTTCAGGCGATACTGGATTCCCCGGGATACCCAATTCAGATGTGGCGTTGAATCACGTCAATGCAAGCCCCGCAGTTAGTAGTCGGGGTTCTCTGGGTCCGTCTCCAGGCATTAAACGTGAAGATCCAATTCATCTTAGTAATCAGATAGGATTACAGAAGATTTGCAATCAAAACATGATTCCTGTGCAATCAAATATTACATCCCGACCTTTGGCGACTAATGCCTGGCGTCATGCTATTCGTCCTTCAGTTCGTAATTGGTCAACCTGCAAGGTTGCTTCATGGTTGAAATTTCGTGGATTGGGCCATGTACCTTCTCAAATAGCTGGTGGCATAGATGGTGTTTTACTGTCCCAGTTAGCTGGTTTACGCATTTGGGCTCCCGAGTACTTTACTCACTGTTTACGATCTGAACTAGGTCTCGGTTTTGCTGATTCTCTACGCTTCTTAGAAGCGTTGGATGAGCTTGCTCCGGAGGATAGTGATGGTCATGATGTTGAAGATGTTGATGATTGTGTAGATGGACGTCCGCATTTGGGAAATCATGATGGGGCATCGTCTAGAGCATAGTAGTTTGTTTGTTTAATTACAAACTACCTTGTTTGTTACAGCACAACGTTGGAGTTGTAGTAAAGCTTTTTCGATCTATCTGTACGAATGAACTATGCATTAATTGAATTTATCCAGTTTAGCTGCTTGTATTGTTACAGTTACTTCTTTAGACGTAATGAAATGTCTTAATTGACGCTATTTTATTTTTTAAATCTCACTTCACCTGTTCATAAATGTAACATTGTTATAATAGATATTTCAGTAGCACTCTCTTTTTTTAAAATAACATTTTTTTCAGAATTTAGCTGTTATTTTAAATTGTAGTTGAAGTAAACTTCAGATTAATTTCACTCAGTTAACATTTTGTTCCATTGTTGTATCCTTTTTTCCATTCGAACATCTTTTTTTTTGTTTTTTTCTATTTCTCTGATCAGTTTGATTTTGATTTTCTAGTAATGTAAAACTTGAACAGATTACACATTCATTCATGATAAATTGTAGTCATTCCTTTTTATTGGTATGAAATGATCAATTTGTATTACATTTTCTGCTGTATTATTCACTACTCTGTTTGTATTGTGTTTGATTTTACTTTTTTTTTTCATTTTTGTCAAATATAATGTATGACTATATCATCATTTAATAGATTTTTGCTCCGTTCACTTGTAATCTGGGACTTGTGTATAATTTTATTGTAAATTAATGAAATCTAATTATCATAATGTTATAAGTCTATGAGTAAGGCTTTTCTATTAGTATGTGCTCGCAAATGAGTGGATTTCTCTCTCTCTCTCACACACACATATACATACATTGTAATTGCATTTGTTTAGTTGGAAGAAACCAAGAGTAAAGTTTTCCGTTTTTTTTCTCTATTCAATCTTCGTTTCGTTTTTCTTTCATATATGTGTACTCTGTACTCGTTTGTAAAATGTGTTTATTATTACTACTATTTTTCCACGTTACATTGTACTGATGGTTTTTTGTAATGTTTCATCGATTTCTTTTTGATCATATATTGTTTTCTTATTTATTATAATTCAATAATGATAGAATTGTTTAATTGTAGCTAGTTAATTGAATACAACCAAAGAACTTCCCTCTAATACTGCTAATGCTACTTATTATGGTAATAATACCCTACCTCTCCACAACTATATATATAAAACAAAAAAATGAGAATTAGTTGTAACCTCTTTGAAATGATTAATAATTACACATTTTTAGACATTAATAATAAGCAGTTTGATTATCGTATAAATGATGAATAAAAAATTAAATAGATACATCGTTATACTGAATGATAATTTTGAAAATTAATATACACGATTATTCTTTTCTTTGAGAAAACATTGACAGATACCAATTTTCTTATTATAATATGAATATTTTATGTGTATGTGTGTAGTATTTGTAGATTCATTCATTTTTTTTTAAATATACATATATATTAGGACATTTTTCTCGGAACTTTTTCTCTGTTTCTCCAATGTATTCGAATTTATCAATGAAATTAACTGTAAAAGTATCAAACAATTGCAATATTATTATGTTGATGTGTTTTAGATGAACTAAATTTCTTTTTATTAACAATAAACTATATATATACATACAATGAGGAATTATATTTATTGTTAAAATATATATTAAATGAGAAGGAAAACTTTATAAGCAAATTCAATGAATGCGTATTAATGTCAGAAGTAATAAATAATTGTTATGTAACATGTTTATGTGTATGTGTCTATAGTTTTCCTTTAACATTTTTTTTGTTTTGTTTACAAAAATATAATACTATACCTTAAATTACAAAAGTGTTATGGATCTATTGTGCTTGACTGTTATAATTTTCCTAGTTTCTCTGTTCCAATTGTGTTTAAGTTTTTATCTTGTTATTCAATTTCAATATTTAGTGAAAGGAATGAACAGGTTAACTTTACTGTAGTTCAATAGTATATTATGCCACCGTGTAATAGGCATCGACAAATATTTTCTTGTTGTTGATATTCACTACTGAATTCGTATTAGCCGTTTTTGGTGAATGTTTATTCTAAACCAGTTTTGTTTAAAAGTTTTAGTGTTCAACACGATTTTCAGTTGAAATATTTTAGGCGTATTTACAAGCCGTTAGGGCAAACTTTTGAATATAGAATGTCATTACGCAGTACGTTGGGATTTAGGTAAATTTTAAAAATGAAGTATTTTCACGGTTACATAAATCAATAAAAATGTAATTTAGTGAATGGTCATTGGAATACTGTAGAACACTTGTCATTTACTGGAATAATATTAGTTCTCCCATCAATCCCACTCCTTATAACCTACCTGTATTTTCAGTCACCAAGTCCCCATATACTACCCACAAAATAGAACGTCGTGCTTCGGGGCGTGTTCATTTCACAATGGACAGTCGTATATCTTACATGAGGTACGGATTACAAAAAGCAGACCGAACCTTGTGGACCTATTTCGATGTTTTTTTCTGCCTAACGTAGCGTTAATAGAAATCAGTTAGTAAAGTAATTTACTTACTGTGTTACCTCTTGTTTTTCTGGAACTATATCATGTTTTTGACCAAGTAGTGATGGGATTTTTTATTAAAATGCTCATTATATCAAATGTTACCTCTCTACAAACCTGCTTGTTCATGCCAATAAGTCTCTAGGACAACAGTAGGAAGATTAAAAGCGTTGGAGAGCAGAATATCATGGTTATCTCATTCCATTTGCTAAAGGCCACTATTCAATAATTATTCCGTGTTACACGTCATATTTTATGCATTGTGTAGAACGACTGAGTGAACCTAGATAATATAAGTCAATTAACTGTAATCTGTGAACATAAAAGTACATCGTAACAAATTCTATGGGGGAAAGTAGCCTACAATTTTGACTAATCCACTTGTTTAATACACAGCAAAATATATAGACTAATTCTTGTAAAAATAACTTTCCCAATCTTACATTTTCCTGTCCTCTCCTTCTACCACAAATTAAGTGGATGGAAAAAATAAAGATTATTCGAATACAGGATCATTGCGTACAAAATATGTTTACTTCCTAAAAAATTATCTTGTGCATAAATAATTTAGTTGTTTGTCTGATATCTGTAAGATTATTCTGAACATGGTAGATGGACCATGAAAAGCAATCTTTTAATTTCTAGAAGTTTATATCTATTTCCATTACAGAAATATCAAATAGTAGAGGTTGACATGTAATTGTAAAAAACTATTCACTACACAGAAATACATGTTCAGTCGGTATGTAAATACAATGGAAACGTTGATTGATCAATATACTCAATATAATCATTTATATTATGAATTAAAATCTAACTTAAAGGAGTTTCTAACTGGTCAATAAATCAAAACATTGCTTTTGAATGTAACCGTTTCCTGAAATTGGATACCGTGAATTAATGATCATTCGTTTAATATTTCTCATCAAATGATTCTATCTAATAAAATTGACAATGATTTAGGTCAATTAATGCGAAGATAAAAATTAAATTCTATTACCATCATAATAGCCTTGAAACGAAAAATCCTGGAGCTAAAATTTCCACATGAAAAGATAAACGGATCATCCGTATATCCGTGGTTATAGAATGAATAGGCTTGTCAAATGGGAAGAATAAATTATCATTTTAAGAAATTAGAGTCCCTGCTATATTTAATTAAATGTTGACCCAGTAGATAAAAACAGTATACTGGAAACATAGTTAAGATAATTATTGCCAGCTTCATTTTAAGGCGAAATATCTAGTTAATTAATAGAACCGGAGAATATAAACAATATTATGTGCTGATTTTTTCTACACTTAGAAATAAAGCGACATAAACCTGTTAGCTTTATAGCTGGAAGTAAACAGATCTCCATCACTTATAACATAATATCTTTCTAATTACAAACTTGGTAGATTTACTGTCCTATGCTTTATTGAATTGGTGATGTTACGTATAACGTGTTATAAACTTAAGTCATATCCTTCCCATACTGTAAGTTATTCTTGCTGAATGATCCTACTTATTAAACTATAAACGTACTGTCCTCCTTCATTACGTAGACGTAACCATGAGAAAACTGAAAAATACTCTCAATTTAGACGATTTTGGATGACGAATCTAATTGTATGTGTTTTTTTAAATATAGCCTCAAGGGACATAATTTTTAAGGACAGTTAATGCTTTTTGTATTTCAGTCAAACTGTTCGCCTGAAGATAAAGAATTCTGCAAACAACAAATTTTTATTTACGATAAACTGGAATCCTTTTGTTTATTAAATAGGAAAAGGATACGAAAAATATGATGACCTATAATCATCTGAATATAATGATGTGAACTTAAAGCATAACAGAAACAATATTATATCAGGATTCCTTTACTAAGAGTAATCGTCATCGGATATGAATGGAAGTAGTTTTTAGTGGATTATCTTCATGATAATTCTTAAGATTTCGTATATCAATCGCCTTGATGACCATTGTTAAATGAATCCGAACGGTTTATAGATTTCGAAGGCAATACGAAACGCCAACTACAGTTTATTATTGTATAGCACAAATCACTAAGCCAGAAGCACACCAAGTGAATTCGAGCAGACATATTAATGCAAGCGAATACAGAGGCGAGTGAAGAGTCGTATCAATTAATAGGGTTCAAGCACATATATATGGGAAAGTGAATGATCTATTGAATAATTTAAGCTAGAAAGAGGGATATGTACCAAGGCTACCGAATATGATAAAGTATACATATTCATACAGACATG